AACGTTCTGGAACTGCAAATTAAATTTTTATCTTTTATTTGGGACACTGCACTGGCGTTTATGATAATGGGTAATGGGGCGACCATTAAATACTGCAGACAACGTTGTGCATTGCCGAAATGTCCTTGTAAGTTTAAAGAAACATCAACAGTCGGTCTCAAATCGCTACCGTAAACTGCGTATCAATGTTGCCTAATGGCGCAGTTTAAGTCACAATCTGACCTGGATACGGTGTGGTTTTCCTCTATTCCATCGATCCTCGGCGCACTCATCAAGTCATTGTGTAGCATAAAAGCGAAGCATAAGCCGCAAGGTAGAAATGTTTTTATCTATGCCATGAAAGCCAACAACCACTTTTGATTGACAGCCTCATTCAATTTGTGCGTCGCCGGTATGTGCCCCTCCCATTTGCCACAATAGCTTATTGGGATTGTCTGGCAACTGTTTTTGCCAATGTAAACTGGGACTGTGGATGGAAGAAAACTAAAAAGCTAAAGCAAGTCATTCACAATAAAAGATACTTGAGCAACGTGTCGCAATTGGATTGTGCGTGGGCTCCTCCCAAGTGGAATTCAGTCCACTTTCCTGCCGCCATCCCACTTACACAGCGGCAAGAAACTTCATTTGTATCGCATTTCAGTTGTCATTTGCAGTCTGGATGACTTGGCGAATTCAGATATTGATATGACCTATTCATTGAGCCGGAAAGGCAACAACAGAATCATGAATCCCAAGTGCTGACTAAGACCAGCTCTGGCATTATGTCTCTGTTCTAAGACAGTATTGCTAATAGCCTTGAAACTGTGCGAAGTAGTATATGCCATACACTACAATCTAAGGTGTATATCCTTTAGTCCAAAATAAGTGATGGCAGCAGTTTGTTAGCGCTTGGCTTAAGGCCAGTATATTAATGTATAGAGCCAACTGCGTAATATTCTCTTAATTAGGTGCCTATTAGATGCCAGCTATTGAGGCCATGAGGTAAAGCAGTATGTGCCTGTGTATTTGTTCCTATTAAAGTTTAATTTCGGGGCATAGATTTACCGCTTGTAAAGGCGAAATCAATTGAACTGTAAGGAATGCCGAACTCTGTGCACCTCATTTCCCATAGACCACAAATTGCGTAAGCACTTAGAGTACAGATGTGTGTGTGTGTGTGTTTGTGTGTGTGTGTGAGGGAACATGTGTATCTGAAATTGTATTGAAATCCTTTTAACGCCATATCTAAAATTTATGTGCTTGCCAAATTGAATTATTGTGCGAACTCAATTTTGCATGAAATGCGCCAGAGCTGTTTGCTTACTCACTACTACGTGAGGCGACTGGGGAGGGGGCTGTGTGGGTCTGCCACGCCTATCAATTTAATGGGCCTGAGACTTAACTGTAGCATATGCAGCTCAGACCAACTTCATTTCATTCGATTACAGTAAAAGTATGTCACTAAAGAAATCAATTATTTAGCAGCCTAAACTGTTCGACAGAAGACCTACATGAAATAACCCCTATATCTATAGGGTTAAGCCAATCTACATATTTGCATTTGAGTTCAATCAATAGTTCATCAGGGAATTGCAATTTTAATTGATATTAAAAAATATATGTATGGTATTGTCTCTGTGGCTATCACAAATTACAATAACTAATTAATAAAAAAACCGAAAGGTTAATCAGTTGATTAAAATATTAATTAAATTTTGCGGGCAACAGGATTATCCTAGTCTGCTGGGGTATGTAGTAATTGACTGTAATTAAGTTTGCCCGGAAATTTGTATTTTTATTCGCTTTGTGGATTTTTGACCAATGGGCCAATTTAATTTATGGCAATAACTTTTCTCTTGTTTAGTATACCTTTTATGCTGTCGTAACTCTAGTTTTGATTTATGAGCTTTAATGTAACGAGACAGAAGAATGCCTTCTGGCGGCCATATAATGGTTAATAGCAAAGAATTTTGCACTCAGAAAATGTAAAACTCTGTGTTAATGGAGGGTTCTGCTTTTCCGCACAAATTTGTTTTCCAACTAATGATTGCTGTGATAAGGCAAACATCAATCACACCTGCATTGTAGCAAGCTATACATAATCGTGATAATAATAATCCATGTCAAGGCGAATCTGTGAAATGAATACAAAATTATCCAATGATGGCGAAATTATTATTGTTGTTATCGGGTATTTGCGTGGCTCTCGCCCGGAGTTTCTGCTGGTGTCGACGCCAACGTTGCGTATGAGTGATTATATGTTATACATTATTAAATGCGTGCAGTGATAAATCAATATTAATTTTATACATTTATGGAAGCACAAGTAAAATACCCTAATTGGATACATTCATACCAAAAAGTGTAAAAGATTAATATGGAATTCCTTTTAAATGAAACTTAAACTGTATTCCGATGGTTGTATTTCAAACCTTACCGACCACATCATATCGGATAAAAATGTTGTCGTTTACCTTGATTTGACGCTTGTACTAAATTCGATGGAAAAGGAAACTTTTTTTGAAATTTATGAAAAGTTAGGAATAATTCATGTAATTGTAATGCCATAAATTGCTTGCTTTCTAATAGAAATATAAAATTACACAGCTGCTGCTGAGGCGTAACGAATTTGCCACCATATCACTAGGGTGTCCGGGTGGCCTCAGTCTCTGCCGAACATTAATATTACGCTCATTTCGTTGCAGCAGCAAAACGCGTGAGTCAATTTTTGGTGTTTTCCCAAGAATAATGTAATATTGTTGACCTTGCCGACCACTTGAGACTCACGGAAATTGTGGCCAACAATTTGGCTTCTTGGACTTAATAACGAAAAGTCACCCACCAAGAGGTGGGATACAACAAACAATGAAGAAGAGCAACTGTAATAGAAATTGTCGTTTAATGTGCGCGGGATATTTGTAAATCTGCAAACAGTGAATAAAGCACGCGCTGCGTATACGTAATATGAGAAAATAATTGCGCAGCCAGCGTCAACAACAATGGGAGTAAATTGCTTTTGAAACGCAAAAACACACCCCAGCACACAACCACAAACACACAAACAAGCAATGATGAATTGCAAAAAAGATTTTAGAAAATAACCACGTTTCATTTAACTGCGTTCCTCCCCTCATTTTGTATTCGGCAAAATAGGCATTTGCCTATTTTCGGTCACATTCATTGTTGTTGGTTAAACAAATTTGCGGTAACCTGCCCTTCAACTGCCTTCCCTAGTCAAACAACCAGACCAATAAAGTCAACGATTCTATCGGCCAACAATAAATCATGATCAAAAGCCTAAATTAGTTGATTTAAAATGTATTTCTCTGAATTCCCGATGTTTGTTTTTGCTGCTGAAATCACAGACTTTTTCATAAGTATGTTCAGGTGTTCAGTTGAAAGAACCGGTAATAAGAGCATCCTTTTGGCACAGAGACAAAACGTGCAACTGTTTTTATTGCTGACTTTGCCACTGGCATACAAAAAGTGTCGTAAAAAACCAAGAGCAATGTGTGGGCGTATGTCTGTATGGAGGTGTGGTGTGAGGACGTGGCAGGTGTGCCTTGTATGCATATGAGACATTTGTCAAGCTTGTTTATGTTTGCCTGCGGCTGTTAAGAAGGCAACAGCTGTCACTTTCCACATTTCATACCCTTAGTTCCAGAGAAGAGGATACTGACGAGGTTAATTCCCAGCTGACTTCTATGGCATACCATATTGTTTAGTTAGTTTTTGGACTGCGCATGTATATTAATTTTTTGCTTTGTTTTGTTTTTGGTATTTCTTATTAAAGTATTTGTCTTTCGGTGTGCCCCATTTTGCATGGCAATACAAAAGGCAGTTTGTCACATTGCACAAATCCTTGAGTTGCAACAAAAATAGCAACGGCTGGTGCCTGGGGGTGAGAAGCGTGTGGCAAGCACAAGCCAAAGGATGTAGGCTGGGCGTACTTTTAATTACTGGTTGCATCTTATGTTTCGTTGCACTTCTTCCCTCTACATCTCTCTGCCAAATTGTCAAAAAAAAAAAAAAAAAAAACACTTTTCACAACTATATTTCTAGGGTAACCGTAAATTTAATTGCCAGTTTTCAAATTGCTTCGTATTTTATCATCTAAGCAATTTTTAAAATCAAATTGCGGTGAGTAAATTGCCACGAAACTATCTCTTGGGGCTTTTACGGCAAAGAATTGCATTGCACTCAACTTTTTAGCATTTTAGCTTAGTATTTATATATTTTTATTTAATATGAAGCTTAATAATATAATTTTATACTAATCAAATGCTACTCTTTTTTTTAACAGCTCGATGCGACTGATAATTGAAATGGATATCCACTGGCGTTTTAGTGAATACGAATTTTGTAGAATTTTATAAGACTTAAGGGCGGCCCTCGTCGAACCTGCCCACACAAACGGAAGGCGTGTCAGCAAGTTGTCCAGTAGTTGAATACCAACATATTTTCACACACTGCACACACAGCTGCGATGGTTTTTGTGTGTGTGTGTGTTTGTGTGCGCTGATTGAGGCAAAACTTTGTGGCATCATATCAATTTCGGGTGGCCACATGTGCGTGTATCGGAAGTAACTAATTAATATTCGTAAAAAAAGTGAAAAACTTTTAGTTTCGTATCATCGCAAACTAAACTTATTGATAGAAATTCGATAAAAGTTAAAGAACTTTCAAGGAAAGAGGGAGAGAGAAAGAGAGAGAGAGGGAAAGAGAGTGTGAGAGAGACTTTACACTGTCCGCGATTGCAGTTGAGCGCCGCAGGGTTGCAAGGTGAGCGGCTCAAAGTGCTCTGCGGATGCATTTCATTTTGAAAGGGGTCCGACAAAGACAATACGGAGGGTTTACGGAGTGCATTGGCCCGTTTACGCAACAGAACGGGCCCCTCAATTCCACAGCCGCAACCCACTCCGCCAGCCTCACCATTGCCCACCAACTCCAACTCCATCGGCAGATATACGACCAGCGCCCATCAGCTGCCGCCTAATAGCCCACTTGCTGGACCACACCCTCAGCAACAACAACAGCAGAAGCAGCAGCAAAAGCAACAGCAGCACCAGCAACCTTGCCCGCATCCAATCACAAAGCCAACTGCGGATCGAGGAGTAGGAGGACGTGGAGGTGGTGGCTTTAATAGAGAATCAGCTGCTGATGGAAACCAAATCAATGGACTCACTTATCATGTGAGTACTATTTCATTAACCTCACTTTATAGGCCTTGTGGCATGTATATATAGTCCCGCTTATAGCTTCAAAATTGACTTCACATATTATCCAACCACTCAATATTCTCCAAAGCGGGAAAATTGCTCACAAGCTCACAATTTGAGGTGTACGCAATTGTGGCTAAACAGATTATGACTGTTTGACTTAACACTAAAAGCACCAATCGCTTTTTATGATATATCGCTATATCTAATACAATTTTACGCTGAAGGATAGAGTAAAATGCATGTTTATTTAGGAAAATACAAATTATCATATCATCAATGTTGAAAATGTATTTATGTAAAGCAGTCTACGAGTATACTATATTTCATGGTGCTAGTTATCTGCACAGATTTAAATGTCTGCTGTAATTTGATTTGAACAGACTTTACGGAGGGATTGGAAAATTGCTTTCTGACGCAGTAAAAACAAAAGCAATTTAATTGCTTAACAACATTTTACCATTAGACTTAATTGAATCGGCGAGCCAAATAATTACGATGAGTGGGTGCTGAAGAGGCCACCAGACACCTCTGGCGAAAAGGTGAGCAGATAAACAGGTGAATATTAAACGCCAGACACAACATGTTAATGAATTTTAATGAAAAATAATGAGGATTGCTTGCCAGGACACAAAAGCTCATGCATTGTCATAGCATAGACCACTTCAAAGGGGTAGCGTCGTGGCAAGGACATGGAACACTTTGCACCATCAGTTTGGATTTTGCGACTTAATTATGGCGCCGTTTTACCTGTCGTCCCACTTGCCGCAATGTTTTGCGTGCGACACACAATGGGGTTATGTGAATTGAAGTGAAGTGAAGTGTAGTCAAGCGAAAGTGGGCCGTATGCGTGGGAAATAATGAAATTCTCATTGGGAATGTGTCATGAGCAGATGCAAAGTTGCTAACACGAATGGCAACTGGGAAAATCATCCATTCTTTACATTTGTATTCCCACCAATCTGATACAGAAACCGATGAGGAAATGAAAAATATACATTGATATCCTGGTAATTTTCTATGTCTCCAGTCATGTTCTTTCGGAAAGGCGCCGGAAAGTGTGCAACATTCCAGATAACTTCATTTTGGCATTAAAAAGATAAAGATGGTTAAAGTTGAAATAAATATAACTACAGTTTCAGATTCTTGTCCTTTAGGGGATTTGTGTCAAATTAAAAGCTTACTTTGGGAAATTCAACAGCTTCAGTGTCAGCTGTTATTAATTGCGCACTCATTTCATCAATTCCTCTTTGAAATGCTGTTTCTGTTAATTTTCCCGGGAAGTTACTTATTATATTTTCATACCCATTTAACTTGCCTCTCGACTCTTATGAAAACCAATTAATCCCAAAAACAATGTTGATCAAGTGTTTTGTCATCATCATTGCAAGTTGTTTTGGGAAAACAAGTTCAAATAACTTTATGTCACTTTAAATGCTTAAAATGGTTAGAATACACAAAACAATAAATTATGTGCAAAGTGGTAAACACTTTAACCAAGAACGCAAACAATTAATAATCAACCCTCTGTAACTCTTGTAAAAAGGAATTTAATTCTGTAGTAGTAAGAATATTTAAGAGGATATGAAAAATATAGAGTATAGAAAAGATATTATCTCATAAAGCTAGAAAGTATTTCTATTGAATAATAATACCAAAAAGAAAGCAGATTAAATGCCAATTCCAAAATAATGCGATTTGCTTAGGTAGCCAAGGCAGCAATTTAAACATTCATTCATTCGCCAAATGTATGTATTTTGTATACAATATGATTGAAATTCCGACTAAAAATGTGAAGGAATGAATATTTTTGGAAGAAAAAAAATGTATTGTGCTGTTTTGTCACGCTCCATCTGCAATTGGCTTAGTTAACGATGACAGTTATAGTCGGCAATTGGAATTTGAATGTACAATTTCGATTCACTTGTTGTAGATGACAGAAGGATGCGGCTCATCCCGATTGCATTTACTTAAGCAAATTTGAAATTCCTCGATATGTATTACTCTGGAAGGCAGCCTTCAAATCTGATTGATTGATTTAATTGAATACCGAGCATTTTAATTAAGTTATGCGAAACGACAATCCATATCTCAATAGCTGCATGTAAAATGCCAATCGCTTATCTCATAAATCTATTAACGGCACCATTTACTTGACAAGCAAATTTATTGTGCATATTTTACGGCGCCAATCACTATTGACAGCAGCAATAAATGTTGTGGCACTCATATCTAAAGTTACATATATCTCGCTCATATATCTCACATCTTTGTCGCACACATGCAATCCATTTCAATCAGGTGAGGGGGATGCAAAGGAAGCAGTGTCTTCAGGTTCACACTTTATCAAGGATCAAATAACATCAAGAATTTAGCTCCAATAATGCACTGGCACACAGACAGCACACCAACTTGAATTGTCCCGTTTTCGAAGGGTAAATACTTATTTGCCTTAGACGGCGTTGACAGTTTGCTTTGATCCTACCTGGTCCTACCTAAGAGTCCCTGGCAACTTGCTGCCTCTTTGATTTATTTGATTGACGGGTGCAACACAAAGTGCCGACAACTCCTCCTCTGACACAACCAACAAATCCAAAAGATCGCACGCCTTATTGGCAAAGGAACAACTTTTCTTGTAGACAGTGTGGTTGCCGCTTTAGCAGCTTGTTTAGGTGATGCAAACATAAATTTCTGAGGAATCCAGGTAACTGTTCAGTATCTTGAATGTAAATCGTAAATAACCTCATCAGAGTCAGTAATAAGCATGCCGAGTTCTAAGTCTCTTTACGATTTCAATGGTCGGAGGTCGGAAATGGAATTGAGTTCCAACGCCAGATTGGGGCTTTGACATGCAAATTGGCATGCCTTAAGATTTATGGCCATAAATTACAATAAAATGGAACACGTCCTTCGCCCTAAGTCTCTTTGTCTGTGTGTCTGTATATCTGTGGCATAATAATCATGGGCGGCCTGAGTTAATTGACGACACATTAAATGGTAATACATAAAATTGTTTCTTGGCTCAGCCGCGTAATTTGCTGGCGCAGAGTGCCTCAAAGCGGAAATTGAATTTTAAAAACTTCGGCGAGCCCATTACATCGAGGACTTAATAGGCTCCCTCCTGGGCGCCGATGCCTAAAGGCTTGCCAATTTCATTCTGCCAGTTGACTAAACTTAGCCAAAGTTAGCAAGCAATGGGGTCGATAGCGATGCGTCATCTGGGAAATCCAAAACCAAAAACATTATATACGTATACTTTAAAGAAGGATGGGTGGATGGGTGGAAGTGGTTGTCAATGCTGTTGCTTTTGCTTGAGTTTGAATTTGAACGGCTGTTTCTGTTGCTGATGAAGCTTTTCGTTGTCATTCAAGTGTTTTAATCAATTTTGATTTAATTTTATGCCCAATTAAGTGTGAAAAGCGTTTGATGTTGGGCACAAGCGTACTTCTCCTGCACCTAATGTTGGTACCCCTCGCCTTCTTCCACCAGTTCATAAAGTGCGACGAGAGGCACGCAAGCGTAAGCATTGAATATGCCACATCTATAGCCCTTAACGAGATGAGGCAAACGATTTGACTGGGATGTCGGCTACCGTACATAAATACATACATATTTATATTGAAATATATTTATGTGCATTTTGGGTTGCTACCCTCAACTTTGTCTATTTATGAAAGCACTCAGCCACAAACACACACACACACACAGTGAGACACAAATATAATAATAACACCCATTAGAACATCCAAAAATAAGTCACACTTAAATAAATATACGGTTTTTAGATGTTTAGCTGTTGTATTTGCTGTTGCTGTTTCTCTATCTGCTATAAACTGCACCTCTCACCTCTGCTATCGCTTTATATGAATATCGTCTGATCAATGTACATATCTATCTATATATCTATCGCCTTGTCTCCTCAATGGTTCAAATCTCTTCTTATGACAGAATCGAACATTGCTGGCTAAGCGTTATCCAATAATCTTTATCAACAGCAGCAGCCCAGCAACTCAGCATCAACCCCAAGCATTTTGGAAGCAATAGTCTATATGACAGCCGATCCGATCTCTTTATGCTTTTGGATATGTCTACAGGTAACAACAGATAAAGCTAATACTCGTATCATATTGCTGATAGTCAAAATACTTGTTTCCTTGTTTTGAGAAAAAAAAAACCGCATCATACCTTTAAGAATTCCTGTTGGGAAAAATACCCACATTTTTGTATTGTCCCAAAGTGTACAACACATATGAAAACATCTTCTGGCTTATTGCTTAGTTTATGGCAGGTAAACTTTCTTGATGTGCGCTGGGAGGTTTTGCTCCTAAGGGTGTGTTTTTATTTACACATATATTTTAACTCGTATGTGTGTACGCAATAAAGCAATTTAGTTGAAAATTTACGAGCCTTCATCTTGGCTATCCATGTGACCGTGAAAGTAGTAAGGGTTGGAGTTAACTATCTGGGCACCATTACAAATTATGGCTTTCATCTTACTTCAAAGCATTTGCCGTGAACAGCATTGTCCAGTTCGAACCCATATTTTAAAATGCCAACTGCTTCTTCTACTTGTTTGCACATTTGGTTTAAAATACATTTTTTTTATTCGATTTTGCTAGATACATTAATTTCGTTATACATGCTTGTGATTTGGGAGGTAGGAGATTGTTGTAAGACTCTACAGTATGGAATATATTGGAATATATTCGTTCAGTGTTTGCATGTAAACCGATTGGACGCCTGCCAATTAATGTGCAATAAAGATTCAGTTGTGTTATTTCATACAATTGTTTTTGAATGGGTTTTGTTAAATTGTTATGCGTGATCAGTGAGTAGATTGTTCACTTTGAATTTCCATATTCAGAATGTAACAATATTTCACATTATTGTGTTTGTGTGGATGAACATGTTTGGATTGCAACAACTACAAACTAATCTTAACTGTAACAGATAACTATAATTATTACTCTGATAGTTACCCTTTAGGCAGCTACCGCTGCCTATAATAATACATTGCTCGTATTTCAAAATTTGTAAATAGCCAATTTTTAAGTTTTTGCTGTATGTATAAATTTTCCTATAAAATTTCATAAAGTTTTTAGCACAATTTTTATATGAATTTCGTTTGTAAAATTTGATAATGCCAAAATGAGCCTTAAAATCCAAAACGCTGCCACTCTCCAGTCGGCAATTAGAGAGGGCAGTGGTCACATGCCCCAAAGATATTTCGTTAATTCTCACTGATATCAAAAAGTTCGAGTATGAAAAGATAACTTAAAACGAATTCCTTTTTAGTTGCGTTGCGCGTACGTCGAGTAACGAAAGATGTCCTAACTAGTCAAATGATATAAGATACATATGATGTCCATATCGTTTATCGCGCTTGTTTGCGAGTCTGATTTACAGTTTCATGTTTTTTTCTGCGGTTTTTTTAGTTATAAGCCCTCCACATACCTTGGCAGCGCAACAGTCCTTAAGACCTGCATTAAATGTTGTCTGTTTGTGTGTGTTTTGTGAATGTGCAGATGTGATTAAGTCGGATACGAGTTAATAGACAATCAGCAGATTGTTCTCGTTAAAGCCTGCCGAATGTCCGGCATTACGCACTATGAAACTGGACCCATCGAAGTGCATGCGCTTCTCGTTGCGACTGCAAAAGTGAAAAGAATAAACAAAAAAAAAAAAAGTAAATTATATAATATCCTTTGCATAGGGTGATCTTGCATTTGAAGCCTACCGCAAAAACAGATGCGAAGACTTGCCCAAAGATCCGGTGCAGTGTATGCCGAGCGTGGTTAGAGTGACTGATCCGTTGCCAGGGCTGGTGCGAATGAGGCCCTTGTTGTGCTGACGAGTCACTTTCACCAAGCCATCGGCTGCCTGAATAATGCGAAAGCCATTGATTTCGTACATCTCGGTGCCATCCTCCCCGCAACTGTAAGATGATTTGGCAATTACCGCCTGTGCATCCTGCACAAAAGATGCCCCGTGGCGTGAGTCACTATTAGAAATGCATTTAAGTTATAGAGTAGCAAACAAAATTCAATTTCGTACTCATAAAAGACTGCCAGTGTGTAGTCCTTGGTTAGGTCAGTGAAATTGTCGGTGGTGGTGCGTGTTCCAGCGGAGTCCACTAGATAAATTAAAGCGCAAGACTCGCTAGTGAAACTCACTCCCTTGTACCACATTTTTGCGTAGCGCCTGCAATAAGAATTTTGTAACTATATCTTCAAAAAAGAGTATTAAGATATCACGATATCATATATAGTTCACAGAATAAACTTTGATTTGATCGATTTTTACTTACACAAAATTGTTAGACTTCATGCCATCATAAGCGACAATCTCAACCTTAGAGCCGTTCTGCAGAACGCGTCCATTGGGGTGAATCAGAGCAGAGTTAGTCCCATTACGGGATAACGAGACGGCCACCATGCTGCGCTGATTCAAAACACGCACTGCCTTGTCCAGTGTCATATCAATTCTAAAGGAAATATTTTAGTAATTCTGATAACTGATAAAAATTACAAATTGTGAATGTACCGTACTCCTTCGCGCAGGCGCACCTGAATAGTGCCATTGGACATGGCAATGGGTCCAGAGCCGGGACAGCTTTGCAATGGTGGTGGCTGTGGACTGTTCTCAAACTCAATGGTGCGAGCACTGACACGTCCCAAGGCATATGGTGGTGGTGGCATCGGCGACGGGAACTGCTGTGTGTAGTGCATTTGTGGATGCACACGCGGGTGCGACGGTGGTGCTTGTGGCTAATGGGTGGATTATTATTAGCCATCAGAATGAAAGCATCAGGATTCTACACACCGTTGGACAATAAGCGCCGTTATTTTCATACCCAAATGTGCTAGGATAGCGAGCAGTCAACGATTTGGTAGCATGAGCCATGGGCTCCAAATCAGAAGAGGTGGTCAACTGTGGTTGCGAGTGATGCATACTCATGCTTACGGGTCTATAGGAAGCAGATGCCCCGCTGACATTGGTCTGGCTAGAACGTTCCTTGGCCAGCACAGCAGTATTGGTGCCCACACTGGCACTGCCGCTATTCAGCGACATGCTGCTCATCCGAGCTGATAACGATGCAGCCGCACCCGACAAACTCATCGAAGACTGCTGCAAATTTTATTAAACATTATGGGCACTTCACAATCTTAACAAAAATAATGTATTAAACTTATTTCTTTATTTTGTGCTTATTAAAACGATCACAGCCGCGATTGAATAAATGAAAGTATTCAATAAGAATCCAGTAAAAGCATTATCAGAGAATTGACACTTGAACACACACAGAACTGACAGATGGAAAATGCATTGTCATGACACCCGATTTATTTTATAGAACTTACCGGTGATGGGATGTTGTTGGTGTACACGGAGCGCTGGCGCACTCCATTTGGAACTTTGGTGGGCGAGCGCAAGATGTGGTTGATCTTGACATTCATCTGGGCACGCGACAAAAAGTCCTCAGCATTAAAGATACCAATGCGTCCGCTCTTCGGGGTGAGCATGGGCTTCGGCTGCTCTTTGGTCTCATCGCTTGTATCGAGCTGGCACTGCACCTCCTTGGTGTGCAACTTAGTAACTGGAATCATTTCTGCTTTTTTCGGTGTATTCTTGTGACTAAACATTACAGTTACGCTGCTATGGAAACGGAGATGAACGCGAAAAACCAACGATTGCTCGACACAACGACTCTGAGAGAGGAATTTAATTTTAACTTTTTTTTTATTTTCTAATTCCAAGAGCTCTGCTCACTGCGACAATTTGTGAAAGAATGACTTGCTGCCCATTTGGGCTAGTCATCATTATATTCAGGTGACCGTCGCCTACTTCTCTACAATGCAGGCTTGCCAAAATAAAAGAGTGTTGGAAAACGCACATGCACTTGTCATTGGTTTCATTTGTAATCATAATTGCCTAATGTGATCCAAAAATGACATAAACTTTTATTACGCCAGCAACCTTTATTTGGAATTGAAAAACAAAAATTTTAAAATGAAAATTTATGATGCTGTCAGTCCTATTTGTATTGTTATGGATTTACTAGTAAATTGAGCAATTTGAAAAAAAAAAAAAATGCTGAAGGAAATGCAGACAATACTTTCATACTTTCTCACATTTTTTCAGAGCCTGGTCAGTGAAAGTTAAAAATGGAATTTGTATACTTACGCAAAGTTGTTAGTCATCTTACCGTCATCAGTAAAAATATAATACTCGCAATAAAAAAAAGAATTTCGAGAGATGTTTATAGACAGATGGAAATTGAATTATAGAACTTACCGTGTTTGTTGGTCTACACGGATTGCTGGCGTAGACCCGTAGCAGGCCTATTTGGCAAGCGCAAGATACTGTTTATTCTATTGTCCAACTGGGCACGTGTCAAAAAGACCTTCGCATTGAAGAGACCCAAGAATCCGCTCGTAGCAAGCTTCGGTTTCAGTTGCCCCTTGGTGTCATCGCCTGTTAGGGAAATGGTGCGAATACGAAAAACGAATGCGAAAAGCGACTGCTTGATAGCAATACTCAGCGAAATGAATTTTCTTCTTTTCATGATTGTCAATTCAAAAAGCCGTGCTGCAAGGATAACAGCCATATTTATTCAGGTGACCGTCGCCTACTATAAGCGAAAGTGTTAGAAAACGCACTAGCGTCTCCACAACTCAACGGATTGAGTAATTAATTAATATAATTTCATTGCATACTCTTAGGCACAATTTAAAAATATAGTTGCTAGATAAATTTAGTAATGTATAAATAAGATATTCTGATAAGATTTTAAATGTTGCTGTAAAAGTCACTTAAGTTGGCTTTAGCGAACGACCCTGGCAGCCAGTAAGCAGAAGCTTAACGCGAAGCAGCGCAGAGTTGCCAATTTAATTAAATTGGCAGCAGGGCTTAATATGTAAGAGAAAACCAATGCATAGAAAATTGTATTCGCCTCTTTTCTTGGCAGCAAAGCAGCTCAGAGATAAGTCAATTGAAATTGTCTTCTTGGTAGCACTTTACTTTACTTTAATTTGCATAATGTATATTATTAGAATCGTACAGTTATCGAAAACTGTGCTGTTCTAGACCACAAACTTTCCACAAAGTTGCAAAAAACAACATATACTCGTACTTATGTAGTTATTCTGGGTTTATTAGACTCGGCCGCAATATGTCCTTGCTCATGGCAAAGTCATCAGTTTGCTTGCCAAAATTGACAAACTGCTTCAATTGGCAAAATTCATGGGTGGTTGGCAAGAACAGGGCCTCCCACAGGTTAAGATGATTATACTTCCGTGACAAGTGAAAATGTACAGATGTCAATTAGCCAGAGACACTTCAATACGATAAATCCTTCAAGTTGTTTGCTTAACTATTAGGTTAGACGCCCGTGAACTTCCATTATATATGTAAATTTTGTTGACAATTGTCGCAATTGTTTTCGCAAACTGCAATTGTGATCTAAGCGAGGAGCTGACACATTTCTAATGCCGTTGATAAATGGCATTTTTGTCCGACTAATGAGCGCATTGACTTTTTGCAGTGTTTGGCCATTGGCCCACGCAAAAACTGACCAGTCAAAATTCATTTATTTTTGCCAACAATTATCATTTTCATTTTCGTTTGTCAACAGCATAGAATATATGTAATTATGAAAAATGTATTTTTAGTTGTGCTGTGGTTCATTTAAATGCTATTGCATCTGCATTTGCATTTTTAAGTTGTAGCCACTCCCACGCATTGCATTGACTCAGTTTTAAGAGTCCAAAAATATTGTTTACAACATGCGTTGCATGAATTTTTCAATTTGTTTTGGGGTTTCAGGAGACGGGGTTGCGGTGCTTATGAAGCGTTCGCCAGTGAAATACGGAAATTCATTTATAAAAAAGCAATGTTTTTCACTTTTCCCGACCAAATTGGATAACCTCCTTTTGTAGCGAAACACAAACACGTACAATAAATACGGTTCCTATGTATTATTATATAGATACAAATTTGTTGACACTCTATTCAATGACTTGGCAAAAGGTTTTGGTTCGTCACATTGGTTTGTTCGTTGCCATTGTTGTTGCCACAATTGTGCACAGATTTTAATTAACTAGACTACAACAGACACTAGTTGCCACTAGCAGAGTATTATATTACCACACGCAAAAAGCTATGAATTTCTGAGTATGCTGTATAGAACATAAATTGCCATTGTTTTGGTTGTTGTTATAGTATGAACGTATGGTTACGTGCTTCAAATAGATGCACATACAAACCCTTCAAATTGAATGCTAAATCTAATGGTAAGAACTTGACTTTGAATTCCCACTCATAGCGGTAACCACTTTAAAGTAAGTGTTGGATTATTGGATATAATACTTTTACTTTGAATTTATTATTTTGATTCTCTCAAATTTATATTTTCTTTTTGTTTCTACATTTTTATCACTTATAATAATAAAACGAATGTATAGAAATCTAGCAAATTGTGCAATCCAACGGAATAAATAGCTCTAGTGGAAAGTGAGAAAAATGTAAAACTATTTTTGTGGCGACAACAAATTTATAGCCATGTCAATGAACTCTGCACTATGCATTGCTTCACTGAGCAACTGAGAATGAAGATGCTAAGCATATGTGTATGCAAATGGGATTCATGAATTGGCATTCATAGGACATGGAAGACATGCGTCTGTTCACTGCCGACGTCACTGGCGGCAAAAAGAGATGGAGAGTGAGTGAGAGAGGGAGAGACAGAAGGAGACAGCGAGACTGTGGCGCCACTCAGATGGATAGTGAACTTATGGCATAATTGAAATTGAAATGGCTTGGGCTGCCTTAAACGGTTTTAAAATATATCGCATTCTTATTTATTTTAATGCAATTTACATTAAAAACAATTCACACATACCGATACTGGCTTTTGTTGTGGGCATATCTGAAATTAATTGATTGTCAACATCATCAGCAATGGGTATATATAAATAAGTACTATGCATACATACATACTTATATAAATAATTGTGTGGATACATACAAATACCCATTTATATGGTATACAACAATTCATTGGCATCTTTGTTGGCAATGCATTAAACTCAAACTCATATCCGCAATATAAGTTTGTAGTCTCACATATATCATTTAACCACTCAGTAGATCTAGAGATCCGTTTCACCTCTAACAACATGCTCTACTCATATTCACTGATCATCTTATATATACATTTATATAATAGAAGATTCGAACCGCATTTGTGGGAGCAACTGATGACATGTGTCGCTAAAAAATCACATGTTAATTTTCATCGGCATTGCGGCATTCCAGGCATTTTTACGCATCTCCATTGTCACTCTTTCAATTTTTTGGAACATCATAAATCGTGTAAAGCTCATGAAACTTGAGTGACTTTTGTTTACATAGCCCATCCCTATGGGCGAGCCGGACAAATCCCACAAACATTGAGGCTTGTCGGTTTGTCAAATGAATCATTGGGATTTCCTGGATGTGCCAAGACCAACGGACTGTATCTTCTGTGCCTGGGCGTCTGGGTATGGGGTTGGGGTTGATTCGTGACCAGTTGATCAAAATAGCGCAGTCTACACAATGAGGTTCTCACCAGTTCCTATTTTTTATACGCTTGAAGTATTTCGGATAAAAAATGAAGATACGTGTAATATTACATAGATAACATAATTATTTGCATCAAACTACTAATTTATTCAAAATCCACTGGCACAATGCTTCAGTTTTAAATAGAATTGTGTTGTGACGAGGTGGACTTCGGTCTGCAAGAGTGTGTAATCTTCGGCATAGAAAATATATCTGTTCTTTCTTATTAGGTTTGACGTCATTAACTCACAGCACCTTGCCAAATTCTCGCAGTGGCTCACCCATTTTATTAGTTTCGTTATGTGCCCCTTTCCTGATCTCTGACGGCGCCACTGTGACTGCCAAAGGTGTGCTCAAATCTGAAGGGGCAGAACGGGGTAAAGATCTTTCGTAAGATTTAATGTATGCTGGCGCACTGCCCGTTTGTCATACAAAATTTTACGCTTAATTTAAGCGACCAACATCTGAAGTGACGTTGTCGTTTTCACTTTGATTTTTTCCACAAATATAGGCCAAAGCATCCATCAATAATTAATACACTCGCAAAAAAAAAGTGATACATCTTGTGTATGCAATGGAAGCTGACCAGGCGAGCCGAAAATTGGAAAACAAACAAAAATGTTTGACATTACAAAACGTGAGCGGTCTAATTATCTTACAAAGGCCAAAAGAAATTCTTATAAATAGACAAAGCAATTAATTTGAACATATCCTTCAGACTTCACTGTAATAGTTTCGAGGTTGATTTATTATTTGTATTTATATCTGTGTACTGGAGAGTGTCAAATAACATTTCTATTTTAATATGATAAATTACTGAAAACTGCTCATTATAATTATTTTAGAATAATTTAGATTGTATTTTTAAAATATGTTTTTCTGTATGGCTTCTCTTTGAACTTTCTTAAATTGAACCAAAGTAACAGACGTGCCTCCTGGGTGCACATTCAGCCAACACCCACCCGAGTGTCTACCCTGTGCTAGCTGTGAAAAAGGCATAAATCACGCGACTTTTAGTCGAATGTTCCGCCTTCTTTATCTCATTTTGTTGTTTTATTTTACTGACATGCTCGATTTTTTATTTTTTTTATTATTATTATGGTTCGTTCTTACTTGTTTCATTTTTTCTTTTCTTTAAATTAATAACACATGCATCGCGATTGTGCAATTGGCGAGCGGTCTTTTCTCTTTACTTGACATTTCCCTTTTTTATTTTTGGCAAATGGGCAAAGAATAAATCGCAATTATTTTTGGCTCGGGTGGATCAGAAGGGGGACGCGTGAGAGACATGAGTGTGGCCAGCGCAGACAAGGTGTGTGCAATAATAATGACTATGACTTCATATAGTATCAGTAGCTCAAGGAGGTGGAAAAATTCCAGAGAATTTTCCGATAAGGCACCTCACATAATGGTTGCAGAGTTTCCGGTAGAGTTGACGCTTTGTGTCCCAACAGCCACAAGGGACACAGCCATAGAGGGAGAGTCAGAGAGGCGGAAACTGAGACATTGAGGAATGTCCATTCAGTTCTGAGCAGACAAGTTCAATGCACTGCAAGCAGCCAATTTCATTGCGGTGGCAGCCATTGTAATGCCAATTGAGCATTAAACGGAGCCAACTATTTATTCTCTGTCTGTTTGCTCATGCCACGCCACAGGACCACAAATTGCGGTCGTCAATGGATAAGTTTAGTGCCCTCAGCGACAACTAAATGGTTATATTGGAAATAACATCGACGCAGTAATTGACGACGACTCGTTGCCCCTTTGAAATATCGTGGCATGTAAAACTGTCTGTCGTATCCATTAATATCTGTGTGGCCGCAGTAATGAAAGACAAATGAAGTAAATTTATAATGTGGTACACAAATACACACACCTTACAAGCAGACAGCGAAAGTCACTTCTGAGTTGCCGCAGATTCGCGCCTCCTTCCTTAAAGAGGGCTGGGCGGTGCAAAAAATAAAATTAAATTAAATAAAAAATAAGTGAAACAATCGTTGGCCCACTTTTTTGTATATTTTACTAAATATACTCATGATCGAAAAAGGGGTATATTTTGCCATCCACTTCAGTTATAATACTTATTGAAAGGGAAAATGTTCTTAGTATACAGTATATCGTCTTTCGACTTCTAATTTATTAAGAACGTCCCGAATTCCATTCCTTAAGGAACAGCAGCTGTTCCCATTAATTGCCAATGATGGTTCCACAAAAGAAATACGTTTTCCTGTTGCTATCACTTTCGAATCTGCGTCTGGTAGGGAAATCAACCCTTCGCAGTACGTTGTCCATTTGTATACATTTCCACGGAATCCATAATCTATAAGCACGGAAAATATAATAAAAACAATCAAGACTGCTACTTGTTTGTAACCCCTTATTTTATTTCAGTTATCAGTTAATTCTTGAGTTCGACAAAGTTTGTGATCAGATAAGAAGAAGTGTGAAAAGTTTTTAAGCTTGTAAATGCCGTCTCTGCTCTTGTTCAATAATTTTTTTACAAAATGTGAAAAAATTATTTGTAAAGTGGAGGTATATCAATGTCGTGCACTGACTATTTTAACTGTATTCTGAATATTGACTCGCTTTCTTGTTTTCATGTTCTGTTGTTAAATGCCGCGGCAACTGTCAGGTGCAACATATTCATATTTACATCAGAAATTGCAGCAGAGCATTCTCGGGCATGAGTGGTGGCCCCTTCTTCGGATTGGGATCAAGCAAATATTTGTTAAGCGCAAATTGCTTCCTCAATTCAATTAAATTGAATTTTCTCACTTGTCTCTTTATGTTACTTGCTTGAAAATCTGCCAATTAATATTAATTAATGTCGACACTTTGGGTACGTACACTTATAAGATGTAATTATTGAGGTGTAGTTAAATGAGGCCACAAAACAGAAATGAAATAAATGCAAAAATAATAGTTCAACTTAATGTTGTTAATATGCAAGTTGTCTTTGAAAAAAAGTAAACGTTTTTCTTGAATGTCAAACTGGTAATTATAGCATGTATATATGTCAGGAATGATTGATTAACTTATTATTATTATTGGGTTTGTAGGTTACTATGAATTGAATAAAGGTAATATAACGGACTATTTAAGGATAATAAATTGTTTGTTTTCCAGAAAACTAGTTAGCTATAGTTTAAAAATGAAACATCGATATATTAAATATCCGAATATAGTCAGTTGGTCGATTGAAAATTTCGAAAACTTACTTGTTGCTGGCCGTCTGTTTCATATTGCTGGAAATTTTCAATTGCAAATGGCAATTGCTGTCTGACCCAAACCGAAATCAAAAACAGGGTGGGGAAACGTGTCGCGAGATTTGCTATTTTTCTATTATTTTTTTTCCATGTCACCATTTACGCGAATGACGTGAGGGGGAGCGAGCGGTAGGGTGACAGCGATTTGTTTGCCATGCAAACATTTTTCGTGTGTTTCCAAAGCATGTCAAGGGAGCAAGCGCACAAAGCAAAAAGCCAACAGCAAAGCAACAGCAACGCAACATCAAATGTCAGCAACGACGGCAATGACGGCAACTGACAAGCTTGCTACAATGTTGCTCTTTTTGTTGTTACTAATGGCAACTTTAATGCGTTAAGTCAACTTCCACTCACACACACAAATGCTAACACCGACATGCAAGCGTTTTTGCTTACAAGTTTTGATTTGTTTAAAACATCTATATTTCTGGCTGTGAGTCAGCCTGCTATATAAGCCACGCTTATATTTATAAGTGAGCGTTTGAATAAATTTGTTGTAGTATGTAAATTTTAAGAATAACCTTATATAAGTGAAAATCTCAACCTTAATCCCTTAAAGCCTTAACTCTTGGTAAGGAACTTAATGAAGCATAGGATACTACGCTTCCTGTACTGTATTTTATCACAGTGTGGTGGGACAACGTATTTGCTTAGCTAAGTGGTCCTTCATCTACAGTCTTTGCACTCTGAAGTCTGAAGTTTTCCTGCTTGGTCCAACAACATAAGCAAACACGAACAACAAACGAGTCTCAAGTTTATATCCTAATCAACTGGGGGTTTGAGGAAGGCAAGCAATTAAAAGGATACATATACAACATCCAACTGGGCCGTGTAGATTTTTATATTCTTTTTGCCAGTGTTTTTTGTGTTATTCATGACACTTTTGCACTTGACATCTTTCAGGTTAGTCGGGTGCTTTTTTTTTGGTTTTTTTTTTCACTTGCCAGAAATTTACATAAAAATGTCGTCAAATCATTAGACAGCAGCCGGAGACCAAAAGTGTTGGCTGTTTTGCTGGAATTTATGTTTGCTTTTAACGCGTATTTAATTTTATTTTAATGAGCTGGCAATTGAAGGCCCCCAGTCCCAGTATTGCGGTCAACATGTGGGCGCTAACGGAAGTTTAGCTCGGAGGCTGAACCCCCAATGACCTCATAAGTTGTCAAATGATTACAATGCAAAATGGACAGCGTGCTCTCTCCTTACACGTCGCACCACCCACTACCGGTCCCCTGCCTACATCTCAATTATGCAGACTGCTCCTGAAAGTGTTTTAATTGGCCGCTGTCGGCATTTTATTTTCATCTCTGGTAGACATTAGGATTATAATCTGCCTTGTCCTTAAGACATTTTTCATCGCATCCATTTAATGCTAATTACAGTTACCAAGTAGCAGCAGCAGCAGGCATCAGCAGCAACAACAATCTCAACCAAACGCTGTCTGGTCTAGATCCTAAGCAACCATTTTTTCCAGGTATAATGGCATTGTGATTGCCACCCAGTGCTCCAACCCCTCCACCGCCACCGCCACCTCCACCACTCGAGTTGGAGACGCGTCCGTTGTGTCCGTTGCACAGATTTTGCTGGCAGGAGCGATAGTAGAAGCGAAAAGAATCGTCTGTCTTAACTCCGTTCAGTATCTGCAAAGTGTGTACATTAAATTTTTGCCCCAGGCGCAATCGGTCTAGCTGTTGATCCCCACACTCAATACCCAATACTCACAACCGGCTTATCTTGGCAGTCACGTAGAAAGGAAATGACTTTGTTCCCATTATGCTGCCGGCGACATATGAAAAAATATAAGAAAGAGAAGCAACATAAGAAATAGTTATCCCACAATTTGTTGCTACAATTTTTTGGAGTCATTTTAAAAACTTGATTTTTTCATACTCTGTGGATGTCTTTAAGATTTAAACTTAGAAATTAGCTTCAGCTGCTAGTTTAAATATGCTTGCTTACTGTGTTCAATAACAAGATTTATTTATCAAATTGTAAATAATGTGAGTCATTAAGATCTTTGGCATATCTCTATATCAGATTATAATTCAATTTTTATAGCACACACACAATTACAGAGTTGTTGTTAACATGATGAGTTCTTTTTGTATCACATCGACTATTTAGTTGTCTTCATCAGTAGGACAGGCCAAGTGCAAATAAAGTTTTAATTGTATTACGACAGAGCTTCAATGGCACATTTAGTCTGAAAGACAGCAGATGTTGTTGCTTGTTCTGCTCGTTGTGCAGGCGTATAAGTAAGTTTTAGTTCATTTTGTGCCGGCTCAAGGCTCCTTTGATCCGGCAAATTCAATAACAAAGAGTTCAAGGCTTGCCGACTAATGAAGCGCTGGCAAATGTTTATCCAACCCGTTAAAAAAAAAAAAAAAAACGGAAAAAACGCTGGGAGTTTGGGTGACGAGAGCAGATAGCAGTCAATGGAGGCTGAAGTTTTGAGGGGGTGATAACATTTAGCAGATACGTGTATATGTAAGCGTGTGTGTATGGCTGGGTGTCGCTCTGCTTTATACAGCGGCTTTTGTGGCTTTTATACGCCTTTCTGACTTTCCATTAAATTATGGTAATGGACTTTTTATGCACTCCACTTTTTCGAGGAAATTTGTGTATAATTTGATGTGGTTGCGACTTTTGAAATTAAAGCATAAAAGCTCCAACGTCAACAAAACCCCAATTGTCTTTTTCTATTTTAAATTTCTGCGTAAACACAATCGATAAAGGTTAGAGTCAGAGTTCTACGAGCAACCAACCAGCCCATCTCTAGAAATGTACGTGATTTTCACAGCTATGCAAACAATTCATCAACATCAAATGTTTGAATGTCGGCTGCTTGACTTAACCATTTGAATGCCAATTCGTGCAGCACCTTCAAGCTGAGTCTCCCCATTTCCATGGAAACGACTGCATAAATTCGCTATTCAAAATTAAGAAAATATATCTGTATATAAAGAGTTTGGCCAGCTTCTTAATTCTCTGCACAAAAATGTATTTACTAATGTTTATAACAATTCATGGATATTCATAGGTAGTGATTTTGTTAAAGACTATTTCAGATATGATCTTTTCTGCCTCTTCTTGTTCTTACTCAACTTTTTTCATATATTCTGGGCTGTTTAACTACGTAACTCTCGTCTTATATTTTGACTCAAAAGTCACATTAAATATGAGCAGCTTGCAGACAGATAAGAGCACATAAATATAATTTACAATGGCGCTTAGAAGGATAGGGCTTTTTGCCACTTACATATAACTCATACGCAACATGTGCCCAATGCCCATCGTCTATTCAATTACTTTCTTTGCGTGTATGAATTCAAGAGCTTAGTTTAATAGCTTAGCTGTAAACGTAAGTCGCGCTAATTTACTGAGCGAAAACTTTCGTTCTTACTACATTTAGCCACAAAGTTGCTCTACCAAACCCAGTGGTGTTGCACAAAAACCTTAAAACTATGACTCGTCTGCAGTTGCCACTTTGTTGCAGGGCAATCATTCGAGCTGCGGCTCGTTTAGTTAAGCTGATCTGAGCCAATCCAGTTCTCCGCCAAATAACGGCTAATGGGTGGCTACATGGCTGCTACTTTGTAGAATACTCACAATCGCTTCTTGCCGCACTGTGAGGCAATACTTTTTGGTGCAGTTGAGGGCACGCACAGCGCTGGCATTTGTCAGGCAGGTGGCATCACTCTGGCCAAGCAAGTAGCTGCAAGCGTAGCATTCGAGCGCTGCAAGTCCAAAATAAAATCCATAAATAAAACTATAAACTACACACATATATGTACATGTACATATATATACAACACGAAATTACTCGTACACATCTCAAAAAATATTGAACGAGGTCATGACGTTGCCTTTCGCTTTCGGTGGATGGTGATACACTTCATTATGAAGCTGATAAATCTGATGATGACAACAATCATGATGATGATGATGATGATATTGTGCTTTTCATAGATTTTATTTATAGAGAAAGCAACACAACACAACACTACGAAAACAACAAATACTACTGAAAATCTATAAAAACATAGAAATCGGTTGTTTTTGTTGTTTTTATTCAAATTAATTGCATTAAAGCGAGAATTTTGGCAACAGACTTTCTGTCTATTTGCCAAGTGGCACGACAGCGTCCTCGACATGTATCTTTCTATGTATACTCTATATGCGTTTTGTGTAATAACAATGACGTCAATAGACAACATCAACAACAACAACAACAATGTGTAACAAGAATAGCAACAGGCACAGCCAATGGCCACAATTTTTAAAAAGCTTATTTCATGACACGAGACTTGGTGTTTCAAAAAAAATTGTCAAAAATTAGGAAAGGGGGAAAAAGACAAATCGTCAATGAATTGCCAAATTTTAAATACCCTTGCAAATATGTACATTTGTTAATTGGTGTACTTCTAAGCAGATCTTAATAAAAAATATATAATATTTTAATTCATTACTGTGGTTATAAAAATCCAAAACGAAATATTAGACACGATTCATTTAAAAGTGTTACAGCCCCTTCCTTGCGCATCATTGAGAGGTATTTGCCAATAGGTCTGTCAGCTTGGTCCCAGACCCCAAATGACCCTGTATATTTACAACAAGCGATTGTCTAACAGCTGGCACAGCTGAGGCAGTTGCCTCTATCAGGGCCTAGCTCTCCATACCGCCACCCCCCAATCAAAATGATGAGGTGTACTCTTTGAATATGACTTTTACAGAGTCACAATTTCATTGTAAAATTGTGTATAGAAGCGAGCGGGCAAAATTCAAGATTATTTTTATAACATATATGCACTGCGATTCTGCTTAAAAAAAATCCATTGGCACCAGCACGCTTCAGTTCGCCGTATTCGCGAATCAGTCATTATATACTTATTATTAATTCGGACGAAAATGCTTAAATCAAAATAAACTATACACACAGTGGTTTACAATCGATCAATCTGCACATAACATATTCAATCCATTTTTATATTCTATAGTCTATTGCAAGCAAACTTATAGAAAATTTTTAAGGTATCAATTATATTCCACCAATTATTCAAATTACCTATAGATCTGGACTCACGGTGGCGCGTTGTCTAAAAATATGACGTTATGCCGTGAGATCTTTCAGAAATGATTTTTGTTTATTTTTTTTTTTTGTTTCAATCAACAAATCAAATGCGGTCACTGGAGTGGCGTCGACAGCTGAGATAGAGATCGGTTATTACAGACTAAATGTCTATTCGACCGAACTGCATAGATATTTAGTATATATTAGAAATAAGTACTAACAACAAAGTTCTTGGAATCATGAGGAGGTCTCATGTTGAATTAGCCTAAGAGCTTGCCAAGAAAAAACAAAATAAAAAACGTTTCATATACTACCTGATTTTTTGCAGGCTGTCATAAATTGTGAACACTGACTAGACAAGTTTCGAAATAAAACCGGCTAATTTAGTTAAGTGGAAATTGAATATTCTTGAACTCGATAAATATATGCATAGATACTTGTGTGAAATATTTATGACACATCAATATTTAAAAAATAACAACACAAACCGTTTGTTTGAGCGGCTGTCCTTAAGAAAGTGACATAAAATGCCAAAAGCAGTGAGACCTTTAGCATCTCAAGTGTTCTGCTGCAGCACTTGTTGAATTGAATTGGGGTTTTGTGTTATTGACAGTTGGTAATGGTATCGTCTACGGTTCTGACATACGACTGAAACTTGTATTTAAACTGTAAAGGGGTTGTTGTCCTAGTGCTGTTTGCCTTTGATATTAATGGACTCGATTGGAATTTTGTCCGTGGGGTCGTCATATCTTATCATTCCGAGCCTGCTGATAAGATCTTTATATATTTAGGTAAAGAACTGGAGAAGAACCGGCAAAATGATGGCGCAACTACTTTATATGTTATAGTTGTTGTTTTCTGATTCATATCTTACTATCCGCTTATCTTACTTTGCCACTTATTTTTGAAACGTAATTAATGGCATTTTGATCTCGATATCATTTCATATTTACAGCCTGAGCGATATGTACCGGGCTCACCCATCTTTCGCGAGAGCAGTGCAGCGCCAAATGCCACGCCTACAACAACGCCTATAACAGCTGCGCCCTCAGCAGCTGGAGTAGGAGCAGGAGCAGGAGATCCAACAACTACAACGGGCTCCTCACCAACCTCCCGGAGTCGTGGTCAAGGTAATGCATTAATATTTACTCAATTTTACTGCCAGACATTTTCCATCAAAGTAGTGTGTGTACTCCCTATTTTTATGTTTCATTCCCAGTGCACCCCGCACTTGTTTTGGCATTCTCCACACACGCAGCAAAACAGTTGACACACTTTCAGTGACATTTGTGTAAATAAAGCTGGAAACATGCTGCAACAACAGTTTGCTCGTAATGCATTTTCGCAACGGGACGCGGCGACATATGAAAAAATTCGACATGTTGTGAAATATATTTTTGGGTCAAAGTCTTTTGACTCCTCTTATCCGGTTAGGCGCTGAGCTTGTGGTATTTGCGTTCCATAAACGTCTTGTTCTGTCTGTTGGTATCTTCAGCTATTTTTCCATTGATATTCTGTAAAGTGTATAGCTTTCGCACTTAACGGGCAATCATAGGTAAACAATAACATTCGAGTGTTCGCGTAGTATCCCGAAATACGTTATACGCAACCGCCACTCAATTATTTGTGGAATTTATTTAGACGATATTATTATCTATCTCAATGCTCTCTATCTCTCGTTAATTTTTGTTTTGTTTTCCTCGGAATCACTGTTCTGTTTACGTGCCATTTTGCACAGCTATTCCAAGCGATTCCGAGCGCGTTACGGTAAAGTACCCGGCGAGTAAAACAACGTCCTCGAAACCAATTCCCGATAGCTTATGAGTCACTTAGTATGTGTGTGTGTGTGTATGTATGTATGTGTGTGTGTGTCTGTGTCTTTTATTGCGTGTGAGTGATTAAGGTCCCTGTCACGCTACAATCTATTGATTTTTTGTATGTTGATTTAGAAGGCATGATTTGCCCAACCCAATTGCCGCGTAACGTTAGCTTAACGAATGGGTAAATCACCGGAGAATGTGCACATCTTACAATTACCCAATACAACAGTAACTAAAACAATTTTAAAGTCGTTAACAGGCTTCATAGTCATTTATATAGTCGAGCTTACAAGCAAACCAGATTTTCTTAAGATATTTTACTTGCACTTAGATCTTTTGCTTTACCTGCTTTTCATAGAGACCTAAGCTTTAATGTACCTTAGTATAATTCTAGGCTATTGTTGTCAACTACTTTGCAATTGCTTTAATTAAAATCTATTTCACTTTTTCTTCACATCTTTTCACTGTAGCCATGACCGTATCCCTTTCACATGCAGCACAGGGCAATAGCACCACTAGCCACCACCAACACAGCAGCAACAATAACAACAACAACAAGCCTAAGCCGCTACCCACCTGCTATATGAGCACAAGATCTGCGGCGATGATGGCACTTGCGCTGGGCCAACACTCCAGCGAGAAGACATCTCCAACACAAGCAGCAAGCTGCGTCAAGCAATCCACGTCCACGCCCAGTTCCAATGCCTCGCCACGCACAAACAATAGATCTGTGTCCACAACGCGACCTGCAAACCGCTCCACGCCCAACACAACAACTGCACCCGCATCTACTGCGAATACTTCCAATACACAAAAAACAACAGCAACTACTACGTCCACGTCTACGTCCAGATCCACATCGAAGCCAGCAACGCCAACAGCGGTGCGTGCTGCGGCTCAATTAAACGGCATGGGCATCCTCTCAGGCGGCAGCAACTCCAGCGGCTCGGATAACGATGGCTTCAGCACCTCCGGCTCATCAACTGCAACGGCTCTGCGTCGACTGTACTTTAAGAGTGGACGCAGCATCAAGAACAAGATCAATTCATCAACCTCAGTCAGCACGCCGCTCAACAGCTTACCCATGAATGCCGTTTCCAGTGCCTACCACAACTCTGTGAGTGGTGCAACACCTATGCATCCCATGGGCGCGGGTGGAGTGCCCAAGGTTAGTAATTTAAGACTAAAGAGAAAAGCCTACTCAGCTTGTTAAAATATGCTAATTTGAAAGTTGATAATATACTTTTAGTATGACATTTGTATATGCTTGCAGAAGGTATTTAATTATTTTGTCGTTAAGAAGACGCCTTCGACCATATAAAGCATCACTAGTCCAGTCCGTCTTTCTGTATATGATATCCATTCATTCGTTTTTATCCTAATTTAAATTAGTCATCTAATGCCATTGATATTTTATATTTAGCTGGTTATAATGGGTACTTCGTCTGCATCGATACCGGATACGACCATCAACACATCCACAGACTCGGCCTGCACCCTCATAACCAATGTGACGCACACGGATACCTCAGAGACGTGCGACTCCCTTGATTTAGGTAGGTGGCAGTTGGGGTTGCATTGATTGATTGATTGATTCCCATTTTAATTAATCAACTAATCAAACTGGTTTACACTTGGCTTACTTCTGACCTTTTGTTCGCAGGCGACAATTCTGGGCCCAGCGAGCCGCTTTTCAGTTCGCTGGAGGAGCCATTGCTCACGGCCATACAAATCGATTCGGAGCATGAGGCAGGGGGTACTGAATTGGAACTAACGAGCTGCTCACGTTATTCAACGCGACCCGACATGAATCTGCAGGACAGCACCGAGGTGAGTTTAACAAAACGCTGATTGTATTTGTTGTTCACTTTATTTGCATAGCAGAGCCAGGAATCCTGTCTGTCCATACTGACCGGAGAGCCATCATCCACAACGCCACTGTTGCTATCGTCGTCACGTCAGCCCAGCACGGCACCACCGCCAACACGTGCACGTGAGCACTTCACATTCGATCCGCCGCAATCACCCAAGTCGGCACGCACCAGCGAGAAAGTGCGCAGTCATTTCACCTTCAAGGAGGATGCACAGCAGAGACACCAGCAGCAGCAACAGAAGCAACAGCAGCAACAGCAGCAGGGGCGCCGGGCGAGCAGCTCAGCGCATTATGCGGGCACTGCAGCTGGCAGCGACGATGAGGCGTCGCAGGAGGAGCGCATTGCGATTGTTAATCGCAACAAGAAATTACGCGCCAAGGAGCGATGCGATGCGATGAATACCAATGGCACCACAACAACACGTAATCGCATCTCGCCGAGCGTTTCACCCTCGTCCAGCAGCCGCACGAGTCCCAAACGTGAGCGGAAACGAACCACGCCCTCCGCCTCGACGGGCGCCATTGCCAAAATCAACTCGGCACCGCCCACAATGAAAGATGGTAATTTCTTTGGCAGCTGCCAGAACCAGAACCAAAATCAGCAGAAGCAGCGCCAAACCCAACAACAGTTGTCACCCTCGTCCACGTTGTGTGCCCAGCAGCAGCGAAAGTATTCGTCCAGCTCATCCAGTGGCAGCAGCGAGCGCTGTTTGCGTGAGGCAAACAACGCTGCTGGCACAATGTTTCCATTTGATCGCGAGGCATTGGATTATGAACGGATTCAGCGGGAATGCTTTGCACCCAGCTCGGCGACGGCAAGCACCAGCAGCGATTCGGATGAGGTGGACAATTGTTCCGTCTATGAGCGCAGGATGAGTACCGATATCTTTCAGCAATACTCGCGCCTTACCCAGAAGGAGCAACAGCAACAACAACAGCAACAGCAGCTCAATCATGATCGGGATCATCCACCGTCCCGCAAGAATTCGAAGCGCATTCGACCCGATTCCGTTATACACACAACAATACGAGAGAATCAGCAATATGTGCCACAATCCGATGCCTTCTATCCGCAGGCCAAGTCATCGTCCTCGCCCAGCGACCACTCCTACGCCGAGCTCAATAAGTTCGAGGATATTGCCAACAAATTTGAGCAGATACCACCCAAACATGGCTCGAACTCCACACTGAATCTGCACATGCTGCATATGCATAGTCCGGGCAGCGAATCGCAACAATCCGCTGCACTCAGTCCCACAGACAGCACACGCAAACGCTCCTTCAAAAGCAAATCCAAGTCAAAGGTGCAACAGGCGCAACAACTGGAGGATTCATTGCCGGGTGGTGGGGGTTCAATTAATGTGACAGCTAATCCCTTGGAGGCAGCGGCCGTCTGCAAGCAGCCGCGTGCCACAATCGTTGTCCAACAAGTAAGTGTAGCCCCAGTCCCGCTCCCGCTCTCGTTCCCGTTCCCAACCTCCCCCACTATCTATTCATGCAAATACATATACACATCTCTCTTGTTGTGTCTGGCTCTCTTTGTGTGGCTCATTTCCGCTTCAAGCTGCGCGCGCAGCAAAAGTCTCCCAATTTTATCTACATATATGTCTGCTTTGTTGTTGCTGCCTTGTGGCAGCTCATAAAAGACTCGCACCGTTGGCCGATCGACTCATTCAAATGTTTACGATCAACACGAGAGCAACACACTAGCTGAAACACTTGGCACAGCACCACCCAAGCAACAATCAACAAAAAAATATACATGTCATAAACCACTACGCACAAAAAAAAAAAAAAACAAATCAGAAAAGTTCTTAACTGGAAATCCGTAATTAAAAAATTTATCGTTCTGTTTTGCGTGTGCCGCGAATTATTCTTCAAAGGCCAACTGAAATGTAAACTGTGTGTTCCTAATAAGAAAAAAAATAAAAAAACAATCCAAGAACCTTAAACAGAGACTATAAGAGACTCAACTCTGCAATTGTGTACTTCAACCCGCTCCAAAGTTAAAACAACATTTGAAATGGCGCCCTTTTATAAGCGCATTTGCCGCACCCTATCCAAGCGCTACAAGGAGGTATGTGTAACCAAAAGTTTTCCACTTCAAGTTTATAGACTTCGGTCATGGCTGATGCAGTACATCAACAGGCCATCATCAGATAAGATAGCCACAGTCCGCAGTTTATTATTTTGGCAATGAGTGTTGGCCTTTTTATGATGACTATACAAATATCAATATTAACATCGTAACGCTGTTTTATTATATTACGTCAGTGTGATAAAGCACGACTCCCAATTAAAGCAACTCATCGAATTGTAGGATAACATTTAATTTCTATGGACAGGATTTTGTTTGAAATGAAATGAGATATCTATAAAATCCAGAAACATTTAAGACATGGCTGCAATTCAAAGTATAATCTTTCTCTGTATATCGATTTTGATTATATGTTTTGAACTTAAAAACGATTTTAAAAGAATATATTAGTTATTAAGAGGAGGCAAGTTTACAAATTCATTTAATATCCATAAAATCATTGACTCCATTTCGGAAGAAATGTTTCGTTACAAAAACACTTAAGAGATTATTCAGACACAGTAAATGTGAATGTAAATATCATATAGCATCTTTAATTGATTTGTTTCAACTGGCTGTTGTACTATATGGTAATATTTTTATACAATGTATTCCACAACACATCTCATACCGGGCGACGACAGCTGTCAAAATAAACTACCAGTAACAAAAACAAATGAAAATGAAATCATGCCAAGGCGCAGGTTGCCAGGTTCTTCCATAGGCATTATACAGAATATTTTACATACATAAATATTTATTTACATTAAAAAGAAAAACATGAAGCATATGTAATCCATTCCCCCAGACCGAAAGCGAGACTGCGACGGAGACTGAGACTGAGTCAAAAACAATGTCCACTTTGTCCGAGCTGTTGTGATTTATTAACTTAATGATTTCATTGTAAGTCGTAATGAGTAGTTCGGTCTTTAATAAACGCAGGGGAACAGCATTTATGTTATAAGAGTTTATTCTCATGTTTATATATATATGCACACAATATATAAACATTTAAACATATAAAGCTACATGAGTAGATGGAAAAGCGGAAAATTACTATTAAAAAAAAAACAAACAAAAATACATGACATGAGCAGCAGCTGACTTCGAGGCATTAACTAATAGGTATATAGCAGCTCTATACAACAGTAATTTATCATATCCTGTAATAAGCTAGTCTCTTTCTATTGTTGACTACATACAAAAAAAAAGATACAATTTCCTTAATATTTTCAATACAACGCAATAATCTTTGGCAGTATCCGGCATGGTAATTTCGTAGAATCCATATCATAAAAAGCTGTTGTCTGAATTAAGAACAAAGGGTTAGGGGTTGGCTAAGAGCGATTAAACTGTGTGTGCCCTGGCGTGATTTGTATACCTTTCACCAGAAAGTCCTTGTCATTTTGGCCATAACAAAACAAAGTAAAGTTGTTGGCAAACTCTAAAGCGAATCCTAAGCAAACGAGAACCTGCAAATGATACGAATGCAGCCTTGGTGGTCACTATCTGATGCCCGCCCCTAAGCACATACTATTCACATACACACACAAACACACACACACACACATGGCTATGTAAACAATAAATGTTTTGCGCCAAGTTTCCTGTAGCTGTTTTTCTCCTTCAACCAGAACACACGTAGAAAATATCAAAAACAGGCAGGCAAATAACATTTTTGCTTAGCTGCAGTTGCTGTTTCGTGTCTATTGATTTTACATTGAAGCAAATTGGAAGGAAGTGGGGCTAAGAGAAAGGGGGCTGCACAAAGTGTTAACGTGCAAATGCATTTGTTTTTAGGCCTTGGTGTCACAAACAGGTAACGTTTAAGGTAAACACCAAAGTCACCAACACGAAAGCTGCCTCCAACCTCCTCTCAGGCCAGGTGCACTTTTAAAGTATCCTTCAGCTGAAAAGAAAAGTCGTCTAATGTATTAAAGATGAAGAGAGACAAGAAATGACGCCACAGATTTCCCTATTTAATTGAATATTTAATGAGCTTTTTTTTTAAATCGACACTGCCCCACAGAGATGGGGGGCGAGCTGAGGCCTCGAATTGGTGATCATTTATTTACATGGCAAATAAACAGCGAACGAAAATTCCACTTGGGTTCATTGGTATCATATACGATATCAAAGCGAATGCCAATGAAGGTCAATCTAACAATTTACGGGTCCAGCAGCTGTTAACGCACGGATTCGAATTATACAATTGATAGCCATTAATATGGACAAATGGCAACATATTATGCTGCCTCTTTAAAAGCGGTTATTGACTCGGCTGACCACAATTTTTGTTTGCTTTTCGCTTTTTTTTTTGGCACATTTGTCAAGGCCGCACACGAATTACTGACTAATTATAGCCGCAGACATTTGCCAAAAGAAAAGCAAAAGTTCACAGGCCGCCACTCAGATTACTTGGCTCGTTAATGTCGATGGCGTATACTTAATTTCAGCTTCTTTTTGTGTAGCGCCAGTTGGCAGCTGGTATTCAGTTCAGTAGTTTAACGACATGTGAATAATTTATCCTTAATTATACATTTCCATGTTTTAATATCCATTACAAATGAGAAAAAAAAGGTATATTCGTATTTTTTCCACTGAGTTTAACGTATATTATGACAGCAAAAGTATATACTCGTATATAAATACACAAATATACCTAGGGTATCATAAGTAAATCATTTGTACTTCCAATTTCGATAAAAATTTAACGAAAATTTTGATCAAGGACAAATGGCAATTATTAATTAAAACTGCCTTTGGTAGAAATCAAATATAAACCTTATTCTGGCATATTTTCTGTTTAATTAGACAATGAAACTTTATATTTTTTTGATAGACTACGAGACTACGAGGTATTTTTAAGAGTACTCTTCCATCGATTCCATCGGTTTGTTTGCATTCTGGGCACCTTTGTTGGCTGCTTCTTTTTATTTGGGGGCAGTGTGTTAGCCGAGTTCTGAGTGTCTTGTAAGTGTCATTAATTAGCTGATACATGGGCTACCCTGGCCAAGTGCCCCGCTCTGACTGCACCTGGATTTCAGCTGAACCGTTGCCTCTTCCTGCTGCGACTTGGCTTGAAATCCATTGACCCCATTCACAGTGCGCAACTGCTGCTGCTGCAGTTTTTTGCAGTTCCATAAATAAACCACGGCCATAAATAAACACACATACATGCATATGTATGTATACGTAGATGCAAGATACAAGATACATATATTTACATATATAATGTACTCCATTGTTCACCATCTCGAAATAGACTTAGCACACGGAAACGCTCAGGCAGCGACGAATAGTTTAGTTGCTGCAACTGGAGATGGACTGCGAAGTGAGTTGCAATAGCGGGTGCGGGAGCCGGGACGATTTCTATTGGGTTGCAGCCAACACACACACACACACACACCTTTATAAAGAATATTTTTGCATAGACTTTGCACCCTATCGAAAGGCTTTTGGCGTATGGCCAGCCAAATTACAAATTACTATGAAACACTCAGAAATTCCCCAAAGTTGTTGGTAATAACCAAATGTAATCAACTGGAATACCACAAGAGAGGAACGGGTGGGTTGGGGGTGGATATTGTAACAAGCGCGCCAAACTAATATTAATTTGGTCTATTCCCATAGCAATTCTGTTAATGACCCTGCAGAAAAGCTGTAAATAGCTCAATAAAATCCATGTTTATACATAGATATGTTTATCATTTATGGGGCGCTAAATTGATTTAAATTATAGCCAACAAATGCGAAAACAGTGCAATAAGGATATAGAAGGGAAAAATTCTTTTAATATTGATCATACAACTTGATAACTTGTTTCATAAAACAATATTCTCTATGAATGCCAAAAAGACCAGTATGAATTTAACTAAAATTCAAAAGCATTGTTTTTACAATTGTGTTTAACGCAAATTAAACAAAAAATTAATATCAAAATAATTAAATAAACTATTCGCCGTTTGTTTTGTTTATGAAATTCTTTCCTATTCCATTCAAAAAAAAAACATTAATAAATCGATTTGTTTTAAGCAATTGGCAGCAGTTTTCAATGGCCAACTATTATATATCCCTTAGAGGATAGCAATTGCAAACGTTAGCTATATTTTGTTGCGATTGAAATGAATGTTGTAATTAAAACAGGAAAACCAAAACAAATGATTCGCATGCCATGGACCATGCCGCAAAGTGTGAGCTTATTTTTATACAATCTAAATGTATTTTTAAGCATCGACATATTAAAGCATCCCCTCAGGCACATTCAGGTGTGATGTGAGGACTGGCAGACACAGCCAACTCAGGCTATAAATTTTTGCACATATTCGGCATATTTGGTCTGCGGCTTGCAGCATTTCAAACAAAGCAACCAAAACCAAAATTATATTATTTTATAGCCTTTACATTGAATACGAAATTTATGTTTGGTATCTGGCAAAACTGCATTTAGATTAACATTGGTGAAATGCAGCTGTGTTTTATAAACAACGAATTTCATTCCATTTCATATCTGGTATATTAATAGTTCAATTTTATACGACCTGTTGGCCTGCACGTAGTCCAACTAAGTGAAATAAAAACAATACAACCATCTTTAGAGATTTAACGCGTCTTTATTGGCTCATTTTCGGACACGATTGTTTTTTAATTTGTCTATTTAAAAACTGCTATATATGTTCTTCACACTCGGCAAACTGTTCGGCTAATGGCCAATGCGAAATTGATGAAAAACACACTCCATTCAACAACAAAATCCAATACAATTTCTATGAAGTATGCCCATGTAGTCAAATACTCTGGCTTTAATTTTATACATTCTCAACTGAATATACCCGCCACGCAGTCTATCTACAGGTCAAATGTTTGTTTGTCAAATGTTTTTCTTCGAATTTTTGTATGCCACATGCCACATACATGTACATAATATACAAAATTGCTCATATGCCGCGATGTCATCGTAAAAATTGATATCTTCATCAAGGCTTTGCGGACTGCGGCACGATTACTCCCTCAAATTGCTCCCCTGTGTCCATTTGTCCAAAAAGTTTCACGTGCCTCCACTTGGGGCATTTGTTATGCGTAGGTGGACCAACTTTAATATGCCAAACAATTTGTGGCAACTCGTCATAGGTGGTGGAACACGCTCACACACACACACACACACACATTTTTGTGTATTATTAATTAGTCAAGCGAAAAAGTGTTTTTTTTTTGTCAAGCAGCCCAAATTTCATAATTTGTTAAGCAAATACTCAAGTATTCATCGTATTTACCGACGTCCCACATTATAGAAGTCGAAGTAAACCAACCTGTAATTTATTGCAAAACTTTTGGTGTTTGCGTGAATTTGTTGAAACATTTTCAATTTGTTGCAATTTATTCGATCCGCTTATTTATTCGCAACAATTTACGAGTGCTTTGAACAAGGGAATATACACTTTATAAAGCCAGACAAATGTGTTAAGTTAGTTTATGTTGAGCGGTAACTTGGCAATATTTTAGAAACTTGTTAATGGTAAAATGACCGTCAACATGTTGAAATACACAACATTTTGTATTGATCTGGATATATATTCAATATTTGGATAAGCTGCCAGACTTGCTAACATTTTCTTCTGTTTTTTTTTTTTTTGGTAAAAGTTGAGCCAATTAGAAGTTGAGCTAATTAGCAAGTAATTGGGAGCAGTTATTGGACTACCGTTGACCCTGTTTAGCAACTTCCTTCGGTTGGTTCTTGCTTGGTTGTTGTTTGCGAAGGTCTTTGCCTCGACACCAATTGGCAAAAAGCTTGACTTAGTTTTTGCCAGCAGGCAACACGCGATGCCTTGTAGCAGTTGCAACTGCCACACCTCAAGGTGTAGATAAGAAAAACTTATTGCGCACAACTGTACAACTTCCGAACTACGGCATAGCCTTGAGCCAGTCAAACAAAAGTGGACGAAGGTCTGAATAAAATTTGCAAAATATAAGTCCAAATACTAAGAAATATAATTCCGAAAAACAAATTCCAATGCGAGGAGAAGAGAAGGTCTAAAAGAGTCCATTCAATTGTAAAAATCGGCTTAAATCAAATGTTTCTCTTGCCTGCAAACAGCCCTCACTCAGCATGGACAACACCGTGGAAACACTGCTCATCAAGAATGAAGGGGATTTCATCAGTGTGGAGCAAGGCAAGGAGCTAAATGCACGCAAGCGTCACTCACAGCAGCTGGCACATCCGCCGCATGTTGCCCAACTGCATCATCATCATCATCATCACCAGGTGCAGGGACACGCTTATTCCCAACAGCAACAACAGCAGCAACAGCAACAACAACAGCAACACAAACGCGATGAGAACATGCGCCAGTTGTTGGATGTAACCAATACGCTAACAATTGAGGAGCTGCGCGACTTTGAAATGCGGTAAGTCTCAGCGAATGCGCATTTAATGTCACAATCATAAAAAGCTGTTGATTTCATTAGTCCGCATGAATGCCAAATGGCAAATGGCAAATAAAAGCCAACGAAGGCAAAGCTATAAAATTAAACAAATAATTTACGACCTTCAAGTGCAGTTGATGAATTGCAGCTGATTCGACATTTATTTATTTCGAATTGCTCTAAATTCACATATCACGTATAAGAAAGGTTATTTAGTCAAGCGACTGTGACAAAATGTCATAATATGGATATCCAATGATGTCGAAGCCGTAGGCTGTATAAACATGTATACATTATTAATCATATCTATTAGTATAAGCCATGACCAAGTGTTGACAAAGTTCTGGGACAGACGGTGACTGTTTTCTTAGATAGATTTGGGGAACTAATTAAAATTTGTCTTTTGGCAACGTGCATTGTTTGACAAAGGAAAACTTGTGGTTGACTTTAGATAGATGCCATTAGCATCGGAATTGCACTGGCTGTGCAAATTGGAAATTCCAGCTAACAAGTGTACGTGGATATCTGATAAGGATGAGCCACAAAACCAGTCAACTGCATGTCTGCGTGTGTGCTTTGCATACGTTATTCCAATTAACTGTTCAAGTCTGCCGCATTCTGTGGAATTTCTGTCAATAGCTCGTTTTTTTCCTAATTACAGCGAACTCACTAACTTCTTTTCGAAAAACTGAACATTTTTCTTCTTTTTTTTTTGCAATTGCAGCTATGGCTCACCGCATCACAGTCGCTCGCAGTCAGTGAAAATGCCCGGCAGTCGTGCCTCGGGCCGCCCAAATCAACTGTGTCTGCCCCAGCAAAGATCTCGGTATGTACCAAAATGTAAATTGCTTGAAAAATGCCTTTCCTTCCTTTCAACTGGGTTTTTCGGTTTTCTTTCAAACCATTTACAGTGTGGCATCAATGCCAAATACTGGCGTTGAGGAGGAATATTACAGACTACGCCACTTTTCTATTACCGGCAAAGGCGTTGTGAATCGCGGTGATTCACTGAAGAGTCGACGCAGTCGCTCCAACAACAGCGTTGCCAGCTCCAATTCAAGCACAGAACACTTGACTGCCCAGCAACAGCAGCAGCAGCAGCAGCAGCAACAACAGCAGCAGCACCCACAGCAGGGACAACAACAACAGTTGCCCGCACCCAGCTCGACTTCGGCACGCACCTCACTGGCCTCCAGTCGTGAGAGTAGCACCTCCAATCCAGGCAATGGACCGTACAGGTACGTCTTAGAGCCACAAACTGTGAAGTTTTCCACTCTACTGATTATAATCCCTTTCAGAGTTCTGATGCTAGGCGGTCCCGCTGTCGGTAAAAGTTCGCTGGTCTCACAGTTCATGACCTCGGAGTATTTGCATGCATACGACACAAGCATTGGTGAGTAGCACAAATCCACAAGTTCAACCAAAAGTTGCACGTCCAAAAAAAAAGAAACCGTGTCCCCTTTCGAACCCCTTGAATGCTGCTTAAACTTCGACTTAGTGCTTAGGTTTAGGCTTTAGTGCTTTGTCATTGTGTGTGTGTGTGTGCTTGTGTGTGTGTATATATATGTGCGTGTGCGTGTGTTTGTTTGTTTGTATTTCTGTGTGTGCCTCATGTGTTTGTGTCCGTCTGGTCCTCAACCCTTGACCCTTAAATGTGTGTATGTCTAGTATTGTTTTGCCTTTTGTTTTTGCTTTTTTTTACCTTGGCCTTTGCCTTAATAAATGTGTTTTTTTTTTGGTTGTTATTATTTATATCTTTTTGTATTTACATTGTTTTTTTTTATTTTGCTTTTGTTTATCTGTTGAATTTTGGTGTCGTTTTGTGCTTTGCCCTTGACTACAAAATTTACGACCATCTTACAAACATATTTATATTTATCATTATTTTTATTTTTTTTTTGCATTTTGCTTTATTTTGGTTGACTTTTATGACCTTATACGCTGTGTACATATGAGCACTGAGATTTGATCACACAATTGGCATTAAAGAACATAAAAACAAGAAAACAACAAATGTTGTATAATTGTATAAATCGAACTGGAAATTTCACACAATATAAAAAAAAAAAAAATCAACAAATGGAAAATTTATGTACAGTGCGGAAAATGATTTTTGCAAATGCGGGAATTTGGATTGACTATTGAAAACAAATTGGAAATGTTATCAATATAAAATATAAAGCAAGAAAGTACATCAAGTCCAATTTCCCGAATGCTTAGTTGTAAATGTCTCAAAATTAGAATGCAAGCACCCAAAAGTCATATTCAATATTCTAACACCAAACAAAACACTTGTCAAACAAAATCGAAAAAAAATCAATGATATTTTTCTGTTCTTTCTCGTCTTTTGACCATAAATCACATTAATCAACCTAATGTTCTCTCATTCAACATAACAACGACCACAAATATGAAACCGAACCAAACTAACAAAATGACAACAACGAATTTATTTATAATCAATCCTCAACTCAGATCTAGGCAACTGTGATATACGCATACATATTGAAAAAGCCGCCGACGGTAATAGCAACAACAAAAACCAAAAAAAATCTATCAAAAATAATTATTACAATAATATTTATTCCAACTCCATATTTAATATACTATAATAAATGCTTAACACAAATTGTATCAACAAAAAACCTAACAAAACATTTTCATTTTAATTTTTAACTTGCTTAACGTTTGAGCTGCATTTGCATTGCGTTGAAAATTAAATTCGAATTAACTTACTCAACTACTTAGCTCCTAATTTATTCTAATCCTCACACACAGGACACACGCCCACCCACACGCCCCGCGACTCCCCTAATTAGGCCATCGGCTAAGTCCAAAGTAGTTCTCTCTATCACACAATCACACGCAAAGTCCTGAAAACACAATACACAAACAAACTATGCAACAAAGAAAAACATTTATTTTATTATTACTGCTCTATCAATGGAGAGTCCAATCAATGCGGCTTTGTTTGACCCCGCCTCCCTCACTTAAGTCCCCTGTGAATGGGTCAAGCTTTTATCTATGTAAACACAAAATACAAACAGAGTTATATGTAAATGTGATTAAGTCTAGAAAAATGTCCAAAAACGTGACTCAAAAGGTCATTTAGGTGGATCGATAAAGAGCTACAAATAATTTCAATACTCAACATCGAGAGCTTTAATTGAGTTGGCCATTCAGCTGATAAATGTGTCAAATTGATAGAAAATTGACTGTAAAATCTCATGAATTTTCAGATGTGTAATCATTAAATGCAATAAGTACGCTTAAAATGTCAATTACAGTCGTAATTTATGTGCAGCCACAACTTAAGCGAACGCATAAATAGAGTGTCAGACCCTTTCGCATATATATCATTTTCAGTTTACTGTACTCTCATTCAATAAGCTCTAAAAGCAATATATATTCACCAATAAATAATATGGCTAATTAACGTATGCACACAACACACATTACACAGTCATTCATATTTCATTGCATACCACTCGGGCGCAGTTGGATGAGATTCATAAAAGCGAACTTCAATCCAAACATTTAAAACATCTCTCTTAAAAAAGCGAATTTTGCACATTTCCCATGCTATATGTATTATATATCCTAATATATATTTGAGAACGTAATTCAGAATTACATGTGGAGCGCTTCTAAAACACCCAACAAGCTACAAACCAACCAGTCAATTGTAAATATATGTAATATTTAGCTGAATGATTATCACGTTATTTGCACACTTTATTTGTAGCTATAATTTAATTTTTCTTATTATATTATACTTATTCAAATACTATATCAAATGCCCAGCCTTAAAGCTTATTTGAATCAATTGTTTTCTTATTTTAAAATGAATAGATGATGAATCTGGCGAAAAGGCCGTATCAGTATTGCTCAGCGGCGAGGAATCCGAGCTAATATTCATAGATCATGGATACACCGATATGACTGTAAGTACTTTGACTCATCCATAAAAAAGGAAACATTTGCCCCATCAACCTCTAACTCGAAATGTCATTTGAACTAAGGTCAATGCACACACAGACTATACTAACCACTCAGCACTCAACCTAAGAGATGCTTTATCTGTGACATTTCATAATGCCATTAACATACACAATCAACACACACACACACACAACTTAGCACATAGACGCATCCTGTTGAACCGAACTCAATGTCATCATTTTTTTTTTATTTGTCTTTTTGCTTTTACAGCCAGATGAATGCTTGACCAACTATGATCCGCATGGATATTGCGTCATCTACTCCGCGGCGGACCGCAGTAGTTTTAGCATTGCCGAACAGGTGCTTCAGGTGCTGTGGACCAATCAGAATATCGCACAGAAAGCGGTTATACTAGTGTCGAACAAAGCGGACCTTGCCAGGAGTCGACTTGTCACATCCGAAGGTAAATAAATGAGACTCAATGCAGCTGACTAAACGATTTTCAAATGTCTCTTTCATTAACACTTCAAAATGCGCTCGATTGGGTTTTTCTATAAAAAGAGCTACAGAAAACGACATTCCACGTGGGTGGGTGTGTGTGAGTGTGTGTGTGTGTGTGTTCGAAAATGGTTGTGCGCCTGCAAAGGACACCACAAAAGCTGCCACAGACAGCTGCAGTCGCTTTAATGTTCGTACCTCAATGAAACTTGATCAAGCGGAAGTTGATTGCCACACCTATACACCAATATATACACACATACACACACACACACACACAAGCGCACACACACCAAAAGAGACACTACATGGACATGTATATAATATATATATAAATGTTTAGCAACGAGGCATCGTTAAATGTGAAGCAAGTGAAGGTCACTCAACTGCTGGACGCTCATTGCCTTTTATGAATTTTTCAAGTACAACCACTTAAAGTGCCCTACATAATTTCTAAATGTTTTTTTAATTCGTTTAGCGTGCTTCAGAGGCTTAGAAATATGGAAAAAAAAATTAGATTTAAAAAAACAAATTTATTCATTGCTTAATTGGCAATCGAAGTCAGAAACAAGTAACAAAAATGGAGAGATTTCTGATACCGGGAAAATGGGTAATAAATGAATCTAGATACATATATTTTATATAGAGTATTAAAGTTTCTACTTGTTGTAGATAAGTTTGCTGTTCTTAATTTATATCTATTTAAACTGTCAGCAGATTTGGGCACTGTCATCATGGTACTCTCCGAGCATGGCTTTCATCTAAGAAATTCAATATTTTCACAAATTACATTTGTTTTTAATGGCCGCTTACGAAAGTGTCAGCGTCAACAAAAGCGAGAAGAAAACGAGAAGCAAATTTTAGGTCATTTTAGCAGCGAACAACGGCACTAGACAACAATTACGAGGGGAGTGGCAGCCGGGAATGGAGCAGGGGGGGATGCGGTGCGTGCTTTTTATGTCAATGCAGCCGGGGAAATTGTTTAAGCGCAAAATTGATTACATTTTATTCCTGCGGCTTACGCTCAAATAAGCTCATTGCTATTGTTGGCAATATAAAAGCAGGCTGCTTAAGGGATGCTTGTTTCACAAAATTTCATAAAACATTTATGGCATTGTACCAAAAACAAAAAAAAAGAAAGGACAGCAAAAACATGATGAGGATACCTTAAAGAACTACTGAAACTCAATACCGAAATCCCATTTAACAAAAACAAAAACACAATTAAAACGACTAAACTATGGAAATGAGCTTTCCATGCAATTAAGAGAAGCCAAATGAGTCTGGGTATGGTTAATATTTGCCATGCCCCACCCAGATGCTATCTTAAGCAGTTGGGGCTGCAGTCATGGATATTTGAAATTGCCTGCATTTGCCATTTGGCTGCCAAGAGTAGTTTTCATTGTTTATGTGTTTTGTTTGCTTTTAATTAAGCGCAAACTGACTTTTGTTATGCGTTACGAGGGTGAGAAAATATTTCGCTTTATAATCCTTAAAGCTCTAAGTACTGCAAAGTGTTTGTTAGCCATGGCTCTATAATAAAAGAACCATAATAAGCTGCAAAAGCATTTAAGAGGCACAGATGAGAACATGCTATCAAAATCTAATAAAAATGACGCCAACTTTTTGGCACATCGTTAATAAAAATGGTATATGTGTATGTATGTGTGTGTGTGTGTTTGTGTTTGTATGTGTGTAGATGTGTAGATGTCATAAAAGCCTATGAAGAACATACAACACCCAGCTACTTATTGTAGTCGTAGGCAACAGATTTTTACGACAGCCGACGCAGGAAACGTGACGAAGTCTGTACAGTAACCAATTGTTGGTAGGGGAGGGGCCGAACGGTGGGACAGGGGGCAGTTGGAGGGGTTAATGGGCAACGTGTTTAGGTGTATAAAGTGTCCAAGTTTTTTGGTTTTTATTACCCAATCCATGAATTAAACTAAGCGACGCAATTTGATTTGATTAACTTGACGCATAGCTGAGATTCACTGGCAACTTTATGTATCAAATGTTCATAAACATACATTTTATTACAGAGGGCAAAGCTATGGCCACAGCATATGATTGCAAATTCATTGAGACATCGGTGGGCATTAATCACAATGTGGATGAGCTGCTGGTGGGTCTACTATCACAGATACGCCTCAAGCTCGAGAATCCAGAGAAATCCAGGTTGGTATTTTGGTACAATCGAAAGTTTTCCCACTGTTATTAACTATGTCTATATCTGCCTTTAGGGATCTGTTTCGCAAGCGTTCCATTCGCAAGTCCAAGCGTCGTGCCTGCTCCCCGTTGAATGCCGGCTGCTTAAATGCTAACACGCCGCTGGGTCCACTGGGAGATGTTGCTGGAACGCCGCCTGGCAGTGCACAGAGCAGGTAAGTTTTATTAACACCTGTCAGCTAATTAAAAATGACCAAACATTTTGTCTGCCTCTCTCTCTCTCTCTCTCTGTCTCTGTAGTCCACGTAAATACCGGGGATCGCGCACCTCCACCAGCCTCAAGGTTAAGGGACTGCTGGGACGCGTCTGGACACGCGACTCCAAGTCCAAGAGCTGCGAGAATCTGCACGTACTTTAAGAGCCTCCTAAAGCACATCCAACACACACACACACACACACAACGACTGAGCATGGGCAGCAAATGGTAGGGGGAGGGGGGTACACGCTACGAGGGGGGCATGGGGGTGTTTTATGTTAATTGACCCACTTATAGCCTTTTGGTTTCCCAAATTCGGTGCATAAAAAATCCAGAGGATTATTTACATATACAATAAAATCAAAAGAAAGCTCCCAAAAATTATTCAATTAAGTTTTTAAACCTACAAGCTTCAAATAGACTCAAAAATCATAGCTTTATTATTATCTCTGTACATATTTATGTATATATATAATTTATATTTCGATAACATACTTTAATTACTTTTAATTTACATAGACTTTAAACTTTATGTACATATGTTTACATTTTATTCAAACAAATATAAAAACAAAATACTTCAAATTTATTTATTAAACGTGTTTTCTTTTGTTGCTTATGTCATCCTTTAAATCCCATAATCTAAACGACTTCCATGAATGCAAATAAAGGTTTATGTTTATTTAATAACAATTAAAAGAGAGGATTCTTTATAGCTGACGTTATCTATTCAGTCTTAAAAAAAATGAAGAAAACAATTAATTTTTTCCAGGGCTTAGCAAATTAATTATATATTTACATTTTCGAATTGTAAAATGTAGAAACCAATCAAAAGCAATAATTTTTTGTAATTTTTTAAACAATTAAATTATAACCCAAAATGATAAATTAATCAATTGTACTGATTTTTAGAATGGTTTGGCAATTGTTCGCCGAATAGAATTTATTATGAATTATATTATATATATGTACTTATAATGCTAATTCAATTGCATTTTAAAATCGTATTAATCTTCTTGTTGTTTAAATTGATTATTCAATATTCAAAAAAACAAACAAAAACCAAATATGTATAATAACAAAAAGAAGTTGTATCATTCAAATTCAATTTGCATTATGTAGTTTTTAAGTAATTTGCTGTTTAATAGACGCATGCAAGCAAAACATTTTTTTGTTGTTGCAGAAACCAGGTGCACAGCATAGGCACATATTATAGGTTTCTTACATAAGTCGGGACCATTCGAAATTGAACTAGAGCTACCACACAATATATATGTTTTCTCCACTTACGGGAGATTCGAAAGTTTAACATTAGTTTTAACATAATGTTTACAGAGTTATCAAAATAAAAAACAACAACAACAAATATAGTCTAAATCCATGTTGACAACAGGGACCCGTCTGTATCAGATTTAGAAAAGGTTCTGCACAGCATTTCTCTAACAAATCAAATTATCAATGTCACAATTAAATAACACGTAGGTAAATGCATAGACATTTTAATATGTTGAGAACATTTTTGCGGTACATAATTATAGATGTGTATTTAACATTTATTGTATATCAAAACAATTGCAGCACAATGGAATTTAAAGAATATTTAATACATACAGTACATAATACACTTAAACTAAATTTGGCAAATGCCCAATTCTCTTAAAAGTTGCAAACAAAACGATATAAATGTAAAACTTATCTAACTTGTCTATGAATTTATTAAATATTTAGATGTACTTTTTTTCATCCAGCATAAAGGTTAATCCAAATGAATTCGAGCCGCAGAATGTCAATGGGAACTCCACCCAGATGATAACTGGTCTAAAAATTGAATGTATAAAGCTATGTAGGAACACAAATTGTCAACCCTAAATAGTTGTCAAGAGTTAATAGGCCAAGAGAAAAAAGAGTATAAGCAAGAGATTCAAATATATTCCATTTACTATTACAAAACTTTATGTGTAATTTATGTATAATAAACGTGTAAACTTTGAACTTAAATCGTTGTTTCCGTCTTTAATAAAATAATAGAAAAATAATCATAAATAAAAACTATGCAAATACAGGCAATTAACTTTTTTGCTAGGCGCTGTTCCAGTTGAACTGCGAGACACTGTATATTGCTGTAAAAGTTTTTATACTCACTTAAGTCTCCGTATTGAGGTGAATGAGTTCATCAATGTGGTGTCATGCCAGCGTGAACAGCTAATCGTCAACGGTGAATGGCAAAATGAACAGATGTTTTGCATTCTGTGCGAATGACTATTTGCGATTTGGCCTGGCCGCCAGCAGTGCGACGATTTCACGGCCAGCACCAACGCACAAAATTCGCGGTCAACGTTTCGACAAGCGGAAGTCGCCCCAGACGCTTTATATAATATGATAAGCTGACGTGATATAAACTCTCAGTCTGCAGATAACCGTGTGATATAATTATACGTACTAAGGATATAAGATGTTGCGCTATAGAATGGGTTCAGTGGTCCGTGGCACGCTCTCATTCAAGGCAACATCGAAATTATTGCTCCAAATGCAGCTACCAGGTGTAGTTGGCGCAGTGGCCTTGCAGTGCCGCCATCTGAGCCCCATGAATGAGTACCGGAAGCGTATCGAATCCGGTAAACTGATGACTGACAACAAACAGGAGTCAACAATGGAGCAGCTGGACGCTCTCTATCACAAAATCCGCAACTATCAGCCATCCGTACAAGCGTCATCGGGCGGAGGTGGTTTCTTTGGTTCGCTCTTTGGCAAGAAATCGGGTGAAGATGTCGATGATGACTTAAATGCGGGCAGCCACAGTCCACAGGGACTCTATCTCTACGGCAGTGTGGGCGTGGGCAAGACAACACTCATGGATCTGTTCTACGACTGCTGCACGGAGGTGAGTGTGTGTGGAAGAGTAAAGAAATCTGCAAATAATCCAAGTTTTATTTGCATAGATTGACCGGAAACGGAGAGTGCACTTCACCGCCTTCATGACGAACGTTCATTCGCTCATCCACGAGGCCAAGGAACGGCAGGGTCCCATCGATCGTGCCTTCAACTCGGAAAAACCTGCACCCTTCGATCCCACAAAACCAGTGGCTGATATAATAGCAAGAGAATCGTGGCTCATTTGTTTCGATGAATTCCAAGTGACAGACATTGCGGACGCAATGATACTTAAGCGCCTGTTCACCCACCTCTTCAGGCAAGGCATTATTGTGGTGGCCACCAGCAATCGTCATCCCGAGGATCTCTACAAGAATGGATTGCAGCGTGTGAACTTTCTGCCGTTTATTGCACTGCTGCAGAAACGATGCCAGATAGCGAAACTGGACTCGATCGATTATCGGCGCATTGCCCAATCTGGCGATACGAATTATTTTGTCAAAGGTCAGACAGATGCGGCGGCATCGATGAATCGCATGTTCAAGATTCTGTGCGCCGAGGAGAATGACATCATTCGTCCTCGCACAATCACGCATTTCGGTCGCGATTTAACCTTTGCTCGCACTTGTGGCCAGATCTTGGACAGCAGCTTCAATGAGCTCTGCGATCGCGTGAGTATTCCCCGAGTGGATGATCTCCGATAAGGCTGCCCGTATTAATCTATCTATGTCTGTCTTTTTTAGCCATTGGCAGGCAGTGATTATGTGCAAATCGCGCAATTCTTTCACACGGTACTCATACACGACGTGCCGCAGCTGAATCTGAATGTCAGATCCCAAATGCGACGGTTCATAACGCTGATAGATACCCTATACGATAATCGAGTGCGCGTCGTTATCTCAGCTGATGAGACGCTGGCCAACCTTTTCAACGTTGGCCAGAAATCTGCCCCGATTTCCGATTCGGAACGTGCGCTAATGGATGACCTAAAGCTCAACGAAAACTCAGTGAGTAACACCGCGTTGTAGCTCTTATAAATCTCTTATTGGTATCTCATTTTTCTAGTCAAGCGTTTTTACTGGCGAAGAGGAGCTGTTTGCCTTTGAGCGGACAATATCGAGACTCTACGAGATGCAGACGTGTTCCTATTGGGAGCAATGGGCAAAACATCGCTGATATGCTCGCAAAACATATCAATTCTAAATTCAATGCAAAGCTTTAGTGCAATTAATAGGACAATTAAATTTTAGAACCGCTTCGTTGCTGGCCGTCACAAATTGATAAATCTGATGTATTTGTGTTATTATTGACATAATGATTACTTGAGTATTGAATCCATTTAGTTTGTTATCTGTCCACTCAACAATTGAGTAATCATTATCAGTATTAATATAATAAATTTGCATGTCTATGTTGAAGGTGTCCCACAATTGATCAAATCAGCGATATATTTATGAATGCAACTTTTAATTGTTTAACAACGCATCGCATTACCAATATCGCAAGTAAATACACGTTACCTGATTTTGAAACTGAATGAATCAATTTTTGATTGGGTTTTTCAGACTGGGACGAACAAGAATAATAATAATAATTTTATCAATTTTTAATTTGTTTTTTTTTCAGATTGAGACCGACAAGATAATAGTCAAATATTTTATCTCAATATATCATTATTTAATTTGTTTTTCCGACTGAGTCCGATAAGAATTATAGTCAAATATTTTATCTAAATATATCATTATTTAATTTGTTTTTCAGACTGAGTCCGATAAGAATAATAGTCAAATATTTTATCTCTATATTAGTTATATCTTTAATTTCTAAACACAAATCTTCAATTAGAGAAACACATTTGCCTCGACTATGAAATCAATTCACAAAAAAAGAATTTCTGCCATAAAATTTTATTTGTAAAATATATTGAAAACAAGCTTTTGGCCACATCAAGTTTTAAGAGTTCCACATTCACCCATTGAGTAAGGATTGATTTTGTTGCTTCAAAATGGTAGATCACAAATCCTTTATTGTAAACAAAACGCTACCCTTTGGTGAGCTGTCTTTATATACATATAAATCATCATTGTTACGTTGCCATTGTTCCTTCAGATGCCTCGTTGCTCATTGTAAACATTTCATTGCGTCCTGTGGAGGAGATTGCGTTGAGCATCTCGCAGCGTTGTGTTGTCACCGGGGTAAATGAGGTCGCCTGGGCATTGAGGGCACTGATGCTGACCGATCTGACCTCGCTGGGTGGCGATGATACCCAGGCGAATATACGTCGTCTATGCATGCGAGCCTGTTATCCGTTCGAGCCGCAGTTCTTTGACAAGTTCTTTGAGCGCACACTTCTCTCCGACATCCACTGTGCTGCCGTCTGTGTGTATCCGGCGCGTGTCAAGGACGCTCATACGGCGATACAGCAGTTCAAGCAATTGGATCGGATGGCCATTGCGGCAGTTGCCACTGGATTTCCCACTGGCCAATATGGACTGCAAACGCGTCTGCAGGAGATCAGTCATGCTATTCTCGCAGGTGCCACAGAGATCGATATTGTAATTAATCGCCAGCTGGCGCTGCTCGGTGACTGGGAGGCGCTCTACAATGAGGTGGTCCTCATGCGCAGCGCCTGCGGTGATCATGCACTGCTCAAGACCATTCTGGCCATTGGCGAACTGGGCACCATGGAGAATGTGAGTGGCCTGCCGTGAATTGAATCTTTCTAAATTCCATATTTCGTTGCAGGTCTATAAGGCGGCCATGGTGTGCATGATGGCTGGTGCGGATTTTCTAAAGACCTCCACGGGAAAGGAGGCGGTGAATGCCATTCTCCCCGTTGGCCTGGTCATGATCTTTGCCATACAGGAGTTCAAGCGACGCACCTGCCAAATTGTTGGCCTCAAGCCAGCGGGTGATGTGCGCACCGTGCGGGATGCGATTGCCTGGATGACGTTGGTCAGTGAAACGCTTGGCAGTCGCTGGTTGACGCCGCAACGATTCCGATTTGGCTCATCCGGACTGCTGGATGATATTGAGAAAGTTGTGCGCGCCGGTGTCACCAGGATGGAACGCGATGCGACCGAGAAAGCCAATCAGAACAACGCCTGCCTCAGAAACGGCAAGTGAGGATGCAATGTGCAATGAGTTGCGCAAAAATCAGCTAAAGAAATAATAAAATCGCTAAACTCATGTTAATGTTAAACCACTTTCGTTCAAACAATGTGACCAAGTCCGCTCAAATGCGTTGGTATTTTTTCGTTGGTATTTTAAACAGGCCGCATTTCAACGTTTGCCGCAACTGGTCATACTGCAGACAAAACTATTGAAAAAATTTGCTTTAATTTAAGAGAATTTCGCATCCGTGCTGCGCCCACTCAACACTGCTGTAATGGTAAGTGCGCCCCGAACCGTACCACAAACACCAGAAGCCGGAATCAGCGATTTGAACCACCCATGTGCGAGTGCCACACTGAAATCACAAAAGTAAACCAAAGACCAAAAAAAAAGCAAAGAAAACGCTGACTGCGCCTTCCTCGCCCGCCCCACATTTTCTGCTTGCTGCAGCGGCAAATCCAAGTGCAAATCGCAACTGAGAAGGAGTCCACATATAACTAAATACTACCTACCATCACCAACTACCGACAAAATTACAAGCACAGCACCACCACAACCACCACCACCCAGTTCATCCAACATGTATCCCTGGAGCTCCTCCTCGTACGGCGGCCAAGTGGCCACTGGTGGCCAAACCGGGGTAAATACGCCACGCACTGCCAGCGTTAATCAACACTCCACTCCACAGCACTACCCCCTTCCCTCCCACACTCTCCCTCTCTATCTTCTACTTTACACTAAATACAGTGGTCACTCGCTTATTAGAAGCTTTCCGAATTATTATTCAACAAGTGCTTAAATTTGCATTTATGCATTTCTAAAAATACCATACAAAAATGCCATTAAACTCAATAACCCTAAACTCTGACTAACATTTTCGTTTTTAGACAAAAAAGGCACGCCCCTAATGGGGGCGGATACACAGTTGACAATTGGCGATTGGTTTATTATAAATATAAGCTCGTTCTTATGTTATCATTGTTTGTTGGTCCATTTCATGTGCTTGATCCAAGCAAAGCAAGCGAATACGCTATCGACTCTTATCTCATCTCATTTGTGTTATGTGTTTCCGCTGTGTGTGTGTTTGTGTGTTGTTTTCTATGTGTTTAATTTTTCTCCGCAATTCATTCATCATGTATTCACGTACTGGTAAAGATTGGCCCGATACACCTGACACTGTCGCGTTCTATGTCTCGTTTCAGACGATGCCGAATGGTTTGGATGACCAGGAGAAACTGCTCGCTGAGGCGGCGGGTGCGGCACGCAAACAGGCATTCCAAATGAATCACTTTCTGGACAAGGAGCGCATGCTGGACGCCCTCAAGTGTGCCAGCACAATGCTCAGCGAGCTGCGCACCTCGCTCCTCTCCCCGAAAAGCTACTACGAGCTGTGTGAGTAAATGTTATCCTCTCCTTGTAGTAGCATTATTAACCGGCCAGATTTGTAGACATGTCCGTGACGAATGAGCTGTGCCACCTGGAACTGTATCTCAGCGAGAAGAGCAACAAGGAGACGGATCTGTATGAATTGGTTCAGTACTCGCACACGATAGTGCCACGTCTCTATCTACTCATCACCGTGGGCATTGTGTACATAAAGAACGATTCGACGCTTAAGCGGAGCATACTCAAGGATCTCGTGGAGATGTGTCGTGGCGTGCAGCATCCGCTGCGTGGTCTCTTTTTGCGCAACTATCTGTTGCAGTGCAACGCGCAACATTCTGCCCGATGTTCTCGTGGCGGACAATGAGCACGAGGGCAATGTGTACGATGCCATCGATTTTGTGCTCACCAATTTTGCGGAGATGAATAAGTTGTGGGTGCGCATGCAGCATCAGGGACATTCCAGCGAGAAGACGCGTAGGGAAAAGGAACGGGAAGAGCTGAAAATATTGGTGGGCACCAATTTGGTGCGTCTGTCGCAGCTGGAGTCCGCCACACTTGAGACGTACAAGCGGCTCATATTGCCAGGCATTCTGGAGCAGGTGGTCAGCTGTCGTGATGCGATTGCGCAAGAGTATTTGATGGAGTGCATCATACAGGTATTCCCCGATGAGTTCCATCTACAGACACTCGATCCGTTCCTAAAGTCCTGCGCCCAGCTGGAAACGGGCGTCAATGTGAAGAATATTATTATATCGCTAATTGAACGCTTGGCGGCCTACAATCAACGCAGCGGCAAGGTACGTCTTTGATTCTTTCCAAGCATGCTATGACTAATAAGTGAATTATTTGTAGACGAGCGGCAATGCTATCGATGCCATCATACCCGCCGAAGTGGAACTGTTTGAGGTGTTTAGCGTGCAGGTGGCAAACATTGTGCAGACGCGCACGGATATGCCACTGGAGGACACAATATCGCTGCAGGTGGCCTTACTCAGTCTGGCACAGAAGGTCTACTCCGATCGTGTTGACTATGTGGACAAAGTGCTCGGCACAACCGCACAAATACTCGATCGCATGAACATGAACAAGTTGGTCTTCCATTCAATCTTATGATTTATCCAATTGATTGACTATTTTGGTTTATTTGCTCAGCATTTCGCATCTGATGACTGTGAATCAGGAACTGTCTCGCCTGCTGCGCATCTGCATTGATTTCTACAACAATGCGCTGACCATCATACAGTTGCTCAACTTTTATCCGCTGCTGGAGAAATTCGATTACACCTCGCGTAAATCGTTGGCATTGTATTTGGTCATGAATATACTGGAGAATGAGACGCTGGTGCCCACAGCCGATCAAGCGGACAGCCTGTTGACAATTATAACACCGCTAATAGAGGACGATACAACATCGAGCACAACGGCAACAAATAACAGCGCCGATGCCGAGGAGTTTGCCGAGGAGCAGGGCGTTGTGGCACGGTAAGCAGCTGCAACAACGTTTCCCCCTCTACAGTTATGATTAATATTTAATTTTACAGTTTTATACACCTCTTAAAATCGGATGAGCCGGACATGCAATACAAAATGCTGCAAACGGCGCGCAAACATTTGGGCAACGGCAGCGGACAGCGACTGAAGCATGTCCTGCCGCCGCTGGTGTTCGCCGCGTATCAGTTGGCATTTAAATACAAAGCAATTGCCGAACAGGACGAGAACTGGGACAAGAAGTGCCAGAAGATAGTGCAGTATTGCCACAGCACAATCAGCGCCCTGGCCAAAGCGGATCTGCCCGATTTGGCGTTGCGTTTGTATCTGCAAGGCGCATTGGTCATTGGCGAGATACGCTACACAAATCACGAGACTGTCGCATACGAGTTCATGACGCAGGCATTCTCGCTGTACGAGGATGAGATATCCGATTCGAAGGCGCAACTGGCCGCCATTACGCTCATCATGTCCACATTCGAGCAGATGTCCTGTTTCGGTGAGGAGAACGCCGAACCGCTGCGCACCAACTGTGCACTGGCTGCGTCCAAGCTGCTCAAGAAGCCGGATCAGTGTCGCGGTGTTGTTGCATGTGCGGCACTCTTTTGGAGCGGCAAGTAAGTTTATCCCTGAGCAAATTAACCGACATTGTCTAATATATATTTTCACAGGCAAAACGGTGAGGAGATGCGCGATGAGAAACGAACGCTGGATTGCCTGAAGAAGGGCGCACGGATCGCCTCACAGTGTTTGGATACGGGTGTGCAGGTGCAACTCTATGTGGAGCTACTGAATCATTATCTTTTCTACTTTGAGCGCGGCAACTCACTGATCACAGTGGCCATGCTGAATCAGGTAGATCTGCGCTGAATTGGCAAGAAAGAAATGCATATTTAATATTCAATATAACTTTTTCAGCTCATTGCCAAGGTAAACGAGGAGCTGCCCAATCTGGAACCCAGCGAGGAGACCAAACAGATCGAGAGCCATTACAAAAACACGTTGGCGCATTTACGCAGCCGTATGGAGTCCAATGACACCGCCCTGGAAGTCTCCTTTGCAGGCATCACACTCAATTAGTGCTGAGATCGGCCTCCAAATGGACAACCCACTTAGACACAGCAAGCAGCCTTCGCCCCCTCGACCACTCCTATTTTTATAACGCTACTTATCAGTCGGCAATATAGAAGAGAACCCACTCCTTAAAAGGCTGGATTAACAGAGTATACTGTGCAGAAACCTTAAAAACCGATGGGTAAAACTGTATTTTCTCAAAGAAACGAAATTCCATGATAAATTGTTGATTGTTTAGGGTAGTGCCAGGCCTACCCAACAAAAAAAAGTGCTTATGACTTTGATTTTCGATTATATATATAATTCTAAGTGCAAAGTGTCAACATTCTTTATAATTTGTTCTCCTTTATTATTATCGTGTAATTAGTTAATAATTACAAGTAATTATCCTCCCCCCCTCAAAAAAAAAGTATATTTTATTGTATTCTATAATTTAACCCACTGCAAAAAAAACAATACAAGAAACAAAAATAAAATTGTGAATAATTATTAACAAAAAAAAGCAAAAACGAAAGAAAAAAATCCTAAAATGAACAATTATAATACGAATATAAATTAATCAGTTAACCAATTATTAATGATATGCAATTTGACAGGTTTTTGATTGTGGATACAAATAAAGTTAAGATCAAATTGTTTTTAGCAAATTTATAGCCAAACTGTGAACAATTATTATAGTCGTACTTTGCCAATAAGGAGAGAGGAGGTGAATATGGTTTTTCAATTGCTTTATTGAAAATATACATACATCATAGATCCGAATTGTGTGTTATCAACCGGATAATAAATCAGTTAACTTATCTTTCAATTAGAATACATGAGTGCATAAGTATACAGAGTAATTCGTCAAACATAAATCCAACTTGTTGCTGCACATTCCGTGGAATACCTTATGGGGCAGCATCTTGAGAAACGAACCTGACAATCGAAACAAGCGCGTATCGAACACTTTCTGGATGAATTCCAATGGCAGTATTATGTTTGTTTGTGTGTGTATCTTGAAGGAGGGCAGGACGTTGAAGTTAATGTGGCAGTTTCGTGGTATGAATGGACTTGCACAGTTCCGTGGGTTAGTCGTTTAAGTTGAGGGATAGCTAAACATATTCAAAAGTTAATTCGTTGGGTGCTGGACCTGGGACCTGGAGCTGGGACCTGGAGCTGGGACCTGGAGCGGGGACCTGTTGCTGAGGTGGACTCAGTTAACAAATGTTTGCGTCGTCTGACCGCGTCTTAAAGCTTATCATTTTTAGTAACTAAATTCTAGCATAAATTTACAATTAGAAGCGCCTAATTCACTTTCAGTGTCGTAGCAAATGGAAAATTTTAAAACATGAGATAAATTGTTCGTCACTGCATATAGCTCGAGATTACGAGAGGTTCCACTCGGCTCCGCGCTTAAATGGACTTCGTGTTGAAGTAGTTATACACATGGGGCCAGGAGGCCAGCACATATTCCTCGATGCCGCACTCATTGGATCCGCGCAATATGCGGAAATAGCCGCGCTCGCCCCACCAAGGACCCCACGAATTGGCCGCAATCTGTACAGAGAAATTATATTTAGCAGTGATAAGAGAAGGCCATACAAAATAATTCATTTATTTATATCAATATTTACCCAATATTTGACGCCATTGTGCTCCTCACCCCAGCCAACAAGCTTCACCGAATGGAAACCGGTGGCTGCACCGCGATTGGCAGCTGTATGCTGATAAACGCCGCTCGAATACGAGAAGAAGTCCCTGTAGACGGTCATGGTGGCCTGGACGGGTCCCGAGTGATAGATCTCCGCCATAATATCAGCCTCGCGACTCAAACTATATGCGGGGCCCACAGTGTAGAAATTGTCCCGATTGACGCCATGTGCCGGCTGGCAGCCATACGCCTTGAGGGAGCGACCCCTGTGGCGCTGAACCTTGCACGTGTCTCTCTGCTGAATGTACGGATAGCAGTTCGCATCGAGAACGCCGTTCTTGTGCATATAACGCCAGGCAGCATCCAGATGGCCGCCGTCGCAACCCTGCTGGCGACGTGTGCACGAGAGTATGTTCTGGGCCGAGAGCTGAACGACCTCTTTGCCCTGGCTCTGGATGGCAAAGCGATCGGATGCCACCGAGGTGGTGGAGAGCACCCAGGAGGCGCCGCACCAGCCCTGATCGGGCACCTCTGATATGAAAGTGGACCATTTCTCTACGGCATTGAAACTCCTGGGCAGATCATTAGATGGATTGGTCAGACGTGTCATTGACTTGACACGAAAAGTGGGCTCCTTGGTGCCCAGGCGCAGACGCAATCCCTCGCTGTACTTGTGGCTCCACCACTCGTCATATTTGCGCGCCGACCAGCCCAGCTGGTGAATAGAGTTGACGCTGTGGATGAGCGCATCGTCGGTGAGGCACAGATCCGTGTCGCACTGCACATGGCCGCCGTCCTGGCAACGGCACTCGTTACAATTATCCCACGTCGTATTGTACTTGTGGAAGTAGACGCCATTGTGCAGGCAGCTGAGCACCGGATCCGGCTCATTGAAGCAGAACGAGCGATAGTCCGGACAGCAGTCACCGCCTACATCGCGATCACAGAACTCATCGCAATAGCACAATGTCGCTGTAAGCATAAAAATATACAACAGAAATCATAAAAAATATTTAATTAACAAAATAATAACATAATTAAAGGATTGAGTTGGCTTCAAGTGCAAAAAGAACTAATTATAATTTGTGAGAGCTGCTGAATTACGAATATTGTTTCTTGAAAATGCTGAAATTCTGGAAAATTCGAATTCTAGAATATTCTCACTTGATATTGGCAGTGAGCAGCCATCTATGCGATTCTTGCAGCATGTGTTCTCTAGCGCACAATAGGGACCCGGAAAGTCCAGTTTCAGTGTGTGATCATAGGCATTGGCCAGGCCAACAAGGACCAGGAGAAATGAGAGCGCCATTGGGGTGCTTCTGACAGCCATTGCTCGCTCAGACTTGAAAATGCAGCTGGGCGCGTTCAACTGTGGAAATTGTAAGAAAAATATACATTAGTGGAAAAGCAGAAATTCACAACAAAAACAAACAAAAATTATGCAAATATGTTCACTAATTTTAGTTCGTCTCCATGCATCCCAGGCGCTTATCGTTAATGGAATTTGATGCTACGATTAGATAAGATTTTTTGCAATTTGTCAACAAATTAGCTGTGGCAAAGCTTATCAGCATATTTATTTTTGTTTAGGAGGCTTCTGAAATTTGCGTATTACGCATACGCCCCATTACGCGATAGATATGAACATCAAAGTCTAATTAAGTCTCGATGAATTTCAATTATGCATACGAAAATACATTTGAAGCAGGTATTTTGTTCTAAACGGGTTTTTGTGGCTTCCTTGTTGAAATGCTGAAATTTTTAGCTTAACCCTTTTTTGGTTAATTTAAAACTGGAGCTAATGACAAAGACGTAGAAACTGTTGATAATAATTATGTGGTCACATAATTTTGTCTTTTAAAAATTAATTATTCCCTTTGCAATTTAATGCTTATCAAAATTCACATCGTGCATTGTTAATAATGTTTCAAAACATCCAGAGTTATAGACTAGAAAACACTCTGGAAAAAAATTATAAATGAAGCATGAATGCTAGTTAAATTAATATTAACTTTAACTAGACCATTATTATATATCAAAATTAGGAGAAAATATTCTGCATTCAGAGTATAAGGGTTATATGGAATGTAAAATTTAAATTTTGACAATTACAAACATAGCAAATAGATATGCCATACAAGTTATCAAAATCACAATTGGCAACAGCATAAACAAAGCCAAAAAATCGTCAGCAATAACAGTAAAGTTTTTAAAAATTCTGATGACGTCAGCTATTAAAACTCATTTTAAACACGAAAGTTTTTTGGCTTCGGTTCGGCACCGAATCCAAATTTAAGCTAAGACAGCATAAAATGAAAAAGGCATAAAAAAGAGGCACAAAGCGCCACTATTTTCTGGGTTCCGGACATGGGACACTAAGAGTTATGACAGGGCATTAAACTTGTTTGGATTTCAGACGATTATCAAAAAAAAAATATATATGTATAAATAAAAGCAATTCAATTATAAAAATTATTATTAAATGCAAATTATTTATTTGAATGCAAATTGCAAATAGATTTATCCAGTTTTGTGAGTTTTTATGCTTATAACGTGAATTTGGTTTATTATGTGTTATAAAATGTATACAAGTAGAGAATGTATATTTAAATAGAATCTGAATGATCAAACATTTCTCAACAGACTTTGAAACCATTTGCAATTAATCGTTAATTTATTTGAAAGTTCGAATCGCCAATTAATACGCAAATTTCATCAGTTAGAACGCAGCGATTGCCTTATTTGTTTATGGGAGAAAAGCTCTTTTAAGCTATTTGACGCCTAATGGAATTATTATTATTAGTAGATTAGTTTTTGCATATACTTTTATTTGTTATTCCCATCTACACTTCTTTATCTTATTTGGAGCTTGTTGTTTTCCGCCTGGATAAATTAATAAATATTTACCCAAGCTAAAACTAAACAAACACAATATAATTAAAGTAGCGCAAAATAATTTTTATAGCATAATAAATATTTAAGGCAAAGCTTGTTTGACTTCTTAACGATATGCATATCAGTTTTGTTTCATTTAACAATTTCACAGTTCATTTTGTAAAAATTAGGAAGTCTTTCGAAAAATCCAGAAAATAACTGCTATATATTTTTAAATGTGATAAATGTGTTTTCAATTCACTTTTTTTTTTTAATAAAATATACGTATTGATACTAACTTCTTTTACACTTGCACAATTTGTGATAGGAAACACTTTTAGTCAATAATTAATTTTGCAAAACACAACCGAATAATCAAATTTTATCCAGACTTATATTCCCAGCACGTTGTTCACGCGATCGCGGCCAGCCAGTGACTGAATTCAATAAAAGTTAGTTGGTCCCATCAAACCGTCGCTGCTGTTGAGGCTTACATTAGCCACTGTTACTGTTAAGCGCTCGCAATAGACGAAGCGTGTGTAGGTGGCTGACAGTGCGAGAGAGAGAGAGAGAGAGAGAGTAAGAGATCTCACTGACCACAACAACACAGTTCACATTTTACATTAACAGCGACTGCGACTGCGACTGTGACCAAGCTCTGCTGTTGACCGCTTACAATAAGTTCTGCGCATGTGGGGGTGGAGGATTGTTAGAGAGCATTGCTGTTGCTGTATTGGTTCTGTTAAATGAACACTAACAGACGCTGAAACAGCTCTGTAATCGTTGCCACTGCACATTGATAATTGCTTTATATGGCCATTTTAGAGAAGATGCAAAAAGACACTTTCCAAGTTTGAAAGCGTGTATCTGTGTGTGTGTCTCTCTGTGTGTGTATGTGTGAGTGGGTTTTTGCTTACTAGCATCACGTATGCGCCTGGCCAGATTTAAAGCTGCGATATGTAACACAGACATGGAATTTTGGTAAATTCCTTAAATTGTTTGCCAAGACCTTTGACTAGAGGCAGAAGCGTGAACTTTCTTGTGCGCAGTTAATTTACGAATATGTTCTTTGAATGTTTGTTTGCTTGCTTGTATTTATTATCAACCGAAATTGATGAGATACACACACATACCTATCTGTACAAGCAAACGTACTCAATTGTACCCAATTTAAGTTCAAGGTTATAACAACTAAATCAAACTATATATTTAGTCCAAAGAAAAAAGCACAAATACGCAACAGAAAGTATTTCTTTCTTGTCTATTGCCAAAATATTTCGAAATTTTAGTAGACACCTTATTGTTGTTCATTGAAATGCTTCAATGGATCTATGCATATTTTGAGAAAACAACAAATCTGTGCCATTTGATCTGATTTGATCAGGGTCTGCCATTTCACTTGCCATCATTTTGAGCTTCTGTTTTTCATATTTATACAGTGCAGGAATTTGCATATTCCATATTTTTCAATATAAATTCTTAGCTGACTCTCTGCAAAATCTATTTAGAGAACTGTACAGTTAGGGAAGGTTTTGGCAAAAAAATGCCTACTTCTTCGAATTTAATATGATTGATTTTTAGCGTAAACATTGAATACGAGTGCGCAACTCCAAGCGCTGTGACAAAGATAATAAACAACATAAACAGAAATCGACAGAAAAACAGAAAGAAAAAAAGCCGAAGAAAAATAAGCCGACACATTAAGAAAGCAAATTAAAATCAAGTCGCAAACTCAGTCAAAAACCTTTCAGTCCTCATTTTCATAAACCCTCGGACAGCATAGCAGGCTATGGAAATAAAGCCATCAGACGTAGACATTTGCTAATGCCCAGCGTCGCCGTTTGCATGACATTAAACTTAAGTTTTATGAGCGATTTCGGTCTGAATAATGCCACATTATGGGCAAACTTAGCCAAAACCAAAACCAAAAAAAAAAAAAAAAAACAAAACAAATCGCATAAAAGAAACCGGAGATTGATCTCAAAAAACAACAACATAATGTTGACCCATTATAAAGCGTGGACATAGGCAGAAGGAAAATTTATTGTTCGTTAAATAACGAAGATGAGAGGACTTTGAATAATGAAAGTGAGCTTTAATTATTCACCAATAACTTGTTATCACTAAATAAAGCTCCACAAAAATGCAATTGCTTAAAATTTGTCACACATTATTTTATTCCAATTCCATTCGCTCCGCATTCCAATAGCGAAAGCCTTCCATATGATTAACCAATATTATCGTAACCATCTCACTTCCACAATTTCAAGCGAAAAATGAGTAATGCACACGAGTGTTTCTAAACATTTTAGACATTTTTTGGCGATAGCTTTATTTATTTGATTAGCTGGCAAACAAAAAATTAACATTGACATATTGAATGGTCAAATAGAAAGTGCTAGAATGAAAGATTATATTTATTTTATTATTTTTCAGCAGAGCACATCTTTTATTCTAATTTCAGTTTTAATATATGAAAAAGCACATACTGTTTTAATGACACTTAAATAAAAGAACACCAACCATGCATTCCATACCAAAATCGGTTTAGTTTTAACAAAGCTTTTTGTGCACAAAAACAAAAAACAAAAAACAAAAAGTGTATTTTGCATGTGTGGCTTTGAACTTGAATTCATTTTAAAATACAAAAGAAACTGAATTGTCTAATGTGAATGTTGATGACAACATGTCCGTAGCGTGTCGCCTCTCCACAAACAAAGTAATTGAATCATCATTTGGGTGGCTTATGAATGGGTTACGAATACCTAAATAGCCAGTCGCTGGCACGCTTTTCGCTCAAGTTAGATAGATAGATAGATAGATAGATATATAGATAGATAGATGGATAAATTGATTTGAAGAGACAGCGTTAGATATTGATAAACAATTTGACATTTGGCATGCGCAGCCTGTCTGATTGGGCCAACAACATAATTAGTTGATACATCTATACACTATTAAGTACTTATTTGATTATTATCATCAATTCTACACACCGAACGATATTGTTATTCTGTCAATAGCCAGTCAAGATTGGGCCTTATTTATGTGTATGCCTTAGTATCAGCCACAAAAGTGCCAACAACAAGTGGCATTCCAATGTATTTAAGTCATGTGATATAAAATTTATGAACTGCCGGCCAAACAAACAACAACAACAACAAAAACAACAATAACCACCTCAAATTTCCAGCCCCAGACGACGCATAAAATAAAAAGCGTAAAGTCCAAGTTTTTGTAGTTCTCTCAAACATTGTCAGTGCTTTGCGAGACATTAACAAGCAGAGTTACGAAATTCCCTATCGACAGATAGTTAAAAGTATTTCAGGGACATAGACGTAATTGTAATTATAACCCAAATAACAGCGACTTATCGAACACTAATCGTAATCAATTCAATTACTTAATATAAATGGTTGTTTTGTAGCGCAATCGGCTCCATGACGTTCACACGTCGATGACCAATATCTGATAAGGTTTGGAAAATCTCAATAATTATTTTCACTGATTTAGTATAACTTGCGAGCGGATATCGATAATCTGAATCATCCGCCTTGGAGATTGGACTATTCAAGCGATTGCATCATCAGCTTCTAGTGTACAATATTTTTCTGTTTGGAATTACGTAGAACATATAATTTTCATGCCAAAGACTTGAATTGGTTTTCTAATCAGAAACATTGGATACCCCCCCCTTTCTGGCGCGCTGATACAAGTTGTTTGAGCTACAGGAAACTTAGTATAAATTCTAGAGCCTAAATTATAATCAAAGTCTAGGAGTCTAAGTGCTTCATTTAAAGTTCGGAAAATAATTAAAATAATAATGTTAAAGTGTTAGGAACGGGGCATAAATTAGTCAATCATATTTACTATTTTAGCTGAAAATTGGTCATTGCCATAGAACAGCTGAATATCTAACTTTGTTTGACAGATATTCTATAAATATCATATCTAAGTTTATAACGAATAGGAAATATTTTGACATACGTTTATCGGCTATAAACTTGTTGATATATCTCCATTATTCATAGCTAAATGAAATGTTTTCCTCTGTAACATTAAATTGCGCAATGCGCCGCAATAAAACTGAATAAATTCGATCGCAAACAATACGCTAAATAGATGTTAACACCTTATTTTCGACTCGACAACGTTTCCGATGTTCTTGATTATCAATTCCATGACCATGACATGTTTATATTTGTTGTTCTTTATCGCGTGAGTTGTCTGCACTGAAACTGTGTGATCGATAAGAAATTCTCCAGTTTTCCCTACTGATCAAAGTCAGATTTTTGACCTTGCACTAACCTTGCAAAATGCACGTACATAAATTCGAAGAATGCGTTTCCAGGAAAATGTGTGCAGCATTCACGAAAAATTCAATTCAGTATGAAAGCTATTTTTCACACAACACTTTTCAATGGATTAACAATCAGATTTTGGGAGTTATACGCCGGGTGCAACAGAACGTACGAGTACATGCATATATATATATATATATATATATGTATTTTATAGAATCAATGTGTCTTCAAGGCTGGTGGCTTTTGCACGCGATATTCGCATCAGCATTTAAAGAAGACACTCCAATGGGTGTTCAGGGTCTCATTCTATATATCAGCCACACGTCAACTAATAACGAAATCGAATTGGCTTTTGAACACAGTCGTCAGTGGAAGTGTGACCATAAATTCAATTGAATTAAATTCTAGTTAATTTTGACAGCGACAATTTAACAATGCTCAACAATAAAACAACAGAAAAAAAAACAACAAATTATTATGATGAACGAACAGATACTAAGGGGGAAGGATTTAAGTTGCCGTTGAGTGTGGTTCAAGACCAATTCAGCTAAAGATCTAAAAACCAAATCGGCATATGTGAGATATAAACAAATATTAGCTTATATGTGTATAAGCATTAAATAATAATTGTATTTCTCTTCAGTTTCAGGTAGTTTGAGTTATTTTTATTTTTGTTTAGACCAGAGCCTTTTTTGGTTTGGTTTTTGTTAATTTAATTAATATTATATCATATTTGTAAATAAATTTTAATTGCATATCTCTTCAATACCAGTTTGGTTTATTTTCAAACATTTTGTATTTTAAACAATTATTTTAACTCCTTCCTTTCCTTGCATAATCACCACGCTCACACTTCTGAAACATTTGTACAGGGTATCAATTAGGCGGCAGCAACAAACGGCTGTCAGCTGCTTAGTCCGTTGTCTAGTAATAAAATAATTTTTTGGCATATTTATGTTTTTGAATATCTGTTAAATTGGTCGATTCGTTTCATTTTCAATTAGAATTTCACTCGCCTGCGGCTTCAAGTGCAACTTGGCCTGCCACTTGTGTTTATATTTCGCATAGTATGCGATTTTATTTTGTTTTGGCTAATGCACAATACCTGCGGCGGTCCCCGACACTTCTTGTTGTCTGGCATTGAGCGAGCATTAATAACATTAAGATAATAATCATAGTAGTAATAATAATAATAAATGCGTA